GAGGATCCGGCGATACCCGTCCATGGCTTGCTTGTGCTCCCCGACCTGCTCATAGAGACTGGAGCGCTCCCACAGGTACTGAACATTACTGGGGTCGTATTTAATAGCTGGGAACGCAACAGCATGCTTTAGACATTTCACAAAGGCATCTCAGTAAATGAGCATCTGCTGATTTATAGCAAGGTGACTGACAGTTCAGTGATAATGTGGTGTGGAAGCGACACACTTCCAAATATTTTAAGTGATGTGAAGAGAGACATATTTACAACAATTTTTTGAACAAGAACAAATTAATAATAATAATAATAATATCTATATAAAAAAAAAAAAAAAATCTAAAATATTATAATACATTATATGATAAAATTATAGCAAGGATACACTGAATTGATCAAAAGTGACAGTAAAGGCATTTACAATATTACAAAAGTAATTCAAATATTACTTTTGAACTTTCTTTTGTTCTTTTAAAGTGAAGCAGTGTAACGGTTTACAACATTAATAATATTAATACATGTTTCTTGAGTAGCAAATCAGCATATTAGTATATGTGACACTGAAGACTGGAGTAATGATGCTGAAATTTCGGCTTTGAACACAGGAATAAATTACATTTTAAAATAGACTCAAATCAGAAAACAGTCATTTTAAATTGTTATAATATTCCACAATGTTAAAGTGTTTTTGCTCAAATAAATGCAGCCTAGGTGACCTCTAAGAAACCTCTTTCCAAAAATAAAAACAAAAACCTTACCGATCCCACATTTTTGAATGCTATGGCGCTTTTCCACTACACAGTACCAGCTCGCCTCGGCTCGGCTCGACTCGACTCGACTCGCCTTTGTTTGGTTTTCCACTGTGTAAAAGTTGTACCTGTACCTGCTTTCGGGTACTTTTTTTCGTACCACCTCCGGCGAGGTTCTGAGCGAGCTGAGGCGATACTAAAATGTGACGTGAAAACAATGGCGACTGCTGATTGGTCAGAGAGAATCGTCACTATTCACTGCGTCATGATTGCACGCGCCAGCCAGAATAACCCCGTCATTTTTAAATAGTTTGGCCAGAGATAGTTAATAAACTTACTACTATTATTATGGCAACTCGGAAGAATATGCCGTGGTCAAACGAGGAGGTGCAGACATTCCTTTGTTTGGTTGCCGAAGAGAGGATCCAGCGAGAGCTTGATGGGGCAAAGAGGGACGAAAGGCGTCGCTATGACGACCGGGTACTATTTGTGGCGGTACTTTCTGCAATGGAAAACGGAGCGAAAAGCGAGCCGAGTCGAGGCGAGCCAAGGCGAGTCGAGTCGAGTCGAGCTGGTACTGGTAATGGAAAAGCGCCAGCTAGTGTATCTACTGTATGTGTACAGACCTTTAGTGTAGCAGATGATGGCTTGTTTGATGTTGTCCTGCTCCAGGGACATGTCCGCCAGCTTGACCCACTCTTCACAGTCACTGGGGTTCAGGTGAGCAGCGATCAGTCCGAACTGAAGCGCTTTCTCCATGTCCCCCTGATCCTCATAGATCATAGCCAGCGTGGAGAACGGCTCGTATGCCACAGGAGCTGAGAGAGGTGGAAGAGACAGGGTTTATCCTCCGATTAAGATGCAGGCACAACTACAATTAATTTTCCACGGTGCAGTGTTTATTGTAAATGCGTGCACATCATTATTTTAAAAAAAATTTAAACTAAAATAACTTCCTCTGCCTCTTGCAGTGACATCTCTTTTCTTCTCTGATGATGTGTTTACTGGTGTGAGGGCGGGACAACCTGTCACTCACATGAGATCGACCAATAGCAAACCACAACCATCCAATCAATTCCCCATGGACAAAATCAAGCCCCGCCCTCCTTTTTCTTCTTGTTCGAGAAGCCGCTTCACTCTGATATACGTCACACAGGGAAGAAAAGACTATCGCAACTTCCGTTTCGTACGACTTTTAAACATCGTGGCTCTGTTTGTTGGAGTGACCCCACATCAACTTTGCACAAATACACCACTGCATGTCACACCGCAAATAACCAACAACAAAAACCCACCTTGGCGAATGATCTCCATACACATCAGGATGGCATCCTCCTTGTCTCCTCTAGCGTAGCGGATGTTGGCCTCTCCCATGAGTCCTCTGAGAGCCCGTGGTAACTTACTGCGGGGACGTCTCTCCTAAACAAATAACGAGACTAATGTGCTTAGAAATAAACTGAAAATGTATCATGATCAATAACAGCGATGTTTAATGTTGACCTAGCAGGGCGATCTACTGACCTTCATCATTTTCTTATTCTCACGGTTCAGCTCCATTTCTAAGGCGAACACATCTCCGGGTGTGACTTCATTGCTGTCGTTGTCCTCGTCATCTTCATCATCTTCTTCTTCAGCATCATCATCATCGTCGCCGTCCTCTTCTCCAATAACTCTCCACTCTATCTTTCCATCTTCATCCTCTTCATCCTCATCCACACATTCCTCCAGTCCGTCTCCCATCATGGAGGCAAAAGCTCTCTGAACAGATGGACTGACTCCTTCTTCTGTCGTCTCTGTCAAGACATCTCACAAAATACAATCACACTGAATAATGATCCCCACATGCCTCATACAAATGCTCCATACGTTTGCTATACGAGCAAGAATATAAAAACAAAATTATATTATATGAAAAGTAAGACTAATTAATTACCCTATTCATTTTTTTAATTCATATACTTAACATTAACAGAAAGGCAGTCATAATTGAAAGATTTACCAGCAAAGACTGAGATTACATTGAATTTTCAAATCACATTCAACACAACATACTAAACAATAAGTAGGTAAAACAATAAATAACTAAATGAGTAAAAAGAAAATGAAAAGTAGGGATTTATTAAGCATTTATTAAGTAGTGTAAATGTATAAAACCAAAATCCTCTAATAAAGAATACAAATACTTTGCTTTGGGACTTTTCAGAGATGGTCCTCACTGCGGAACATGAAATCCACGGGGAGGAGTCGGATCCAGATCCGACTCCTCCCACCTTACATACACCTAAACCTACCCAACTCCGCCCCCTGATCCCTAAACCCACCCCTAATCCCTAAACCCAACCCTAATCCTACCCATCTCCACCCCTTGGATCTTGATCCGACTCCTCCCCGTGGATCTCATGTACTGCATTGAGGTGCTACTGACTTTTCATCCCTCTCAATGTATCCAAATACATTAGAAATTCCTCTTTAAAAACCAATAACCGTGGAGGAATAAAAATAAAATAAAAAAAAAGAACATTTATGTATGTAAAATTTCAACAAAAGCAACAAATTATAACTGCTAGTAATTAGTTCTGACACAGTCTTAACAAAGTGCTATGTATATGACAGGAAAAACAGGTGAGGTTTCATAAAAATGTCAATATTATTTTGCCCCCTTTCACCTGTAGTGTTGCCCCTGTTACCCTGGTAATGTGATGTAATATCACCTGTTTGGCGTTTCCGTGTTCCTCCAGCACACAGTTTTGAAGTGGATGGAGCAGAATCCTCCGGTTCTGCAGTTTCCTCATCTTCTGACACATTCTGCTCCTGAAACACAACATGCGCTACTACCACAGGACTTCAACAACACCATGAAACATTACTACGGTTCATGCCCAAATCACAATCCAAAATGAATGGTTCGTGGATATTTGCACTGTAATAAACTGTACATAACACACAGGTGAACATGTGAGCCGATCAAATTTACTAAGCAGTTACCTTATTCTTTGCTTTTCTTTCCTCTCTCCGCCTCTCAAACTCCTCGAAAGTAATCTTACCTTCTAAATAATCGTTTAATTCGGACATTGTCTAGACAAAATAATTAAGTTTACTGCGTCATGTCATACGGTAAAATCATAACACGGTGTATGAGCGCTATTACTGCGTTCTACCTTTCAGCCAATTAGAAAGCTCAAACTCTTCTTCGACGGTGAGTGAAACACAAACACAGGTGACGTGATCCCAAAGCCCTACACCGCCACCGAGCGTCCAAGGATTATAACGCAACTATCGTGGTAACCACTGGTAAAGTATAGAAAGATATTACAGGAAATTTATTTTTCAGTATGTTTTACATATATTTACATACACGTGTGTGTGTGGGGCCTGGTAAACCTTACATTAAAACACATGGCATCGTTAGCCTCATAGCATAATTGCCTAAGTCATGTTTATTTGAAATATGTCTAAGGCAATTATGCTATGAGGCTAAGGCTAACGATATGAAATCCTTGTGGGACATTTTTTGGTCCCCATGAGGAAAACAGATTATAAATATTGTGATGTTTTTTGAAAATGTAGAAAGTTTTCTGTGATGGGTAGGTTTAGGGGATATAATAGTATACAAAATGTCTATGGAAGTCCCCATAAAACATAAAAACACAACATTTCTCTTTCTCTCTGTGTGTTTAAATCTAAATATACATGTCTTACTATTAAAAAAATCACATTGAAGTCTAAATATTATAACCTAAAGTCTAAATTATATTATATTTATATTATTATAAATTATATATTTATATTATATTTATAATATTTATTTAATATTTATTATTTATATTATATACTAATTATATTATAAGTCTAAATTATAACCCCTAATATAATATGCAGAAAGTTTTCTGTGATGGGTAGGTTTAGGAGATATAATAGTATAAAAAATGTCTATGGAAAGTCCCCATAAAACATGAAAACACAACATTTCTCTTTCTCTCTCAGTGTTTAAATCTAAATATACATGTCTTACTATTAAAAAATCATATTTTTCTGAAGTCAAAATATAACCACATTGAAAAGAAACACTGAAAAAGTCCATCAGTCTTTTTTTATTATTAAAACATTTCACTGCATATATTTATTCATTCTTTCATTATGTTTTTCACTTGGTGTTGGAGGAATACATAACTGTACAATATTGATATTACACATCACTAAATATGTATCATGAATCCATCTTTGAGTAAGATCAGAAGGCAAACTAAATATCCGTCAGGAACTGTAATGAGATTCACTCTGCTTTTGGACTGTCGTTCAGCATTTCCTGCGTTCCAGAGGATTCCTGTTCTGGAAAAATGAGCTTCTGTAGCATCTGAATCTTCTCTTCCTCAGTTTTAGAGTTGAGCTCAAGGACAGGAACCTAACAAGGGGGATATACAAGTGAGGAATATTATTGGAAATGCAAAATCGAGAACCAGAGATTGATCTTTTGGTTAAGTCTCTCCAGTTGTTCATAAGCAGGTGGAAGCACCATATCAGTACTGTGATGATGTTTACCATATTCATATGGTATTTTGCGTGCTGTTCCAAGGTATTTCAAAGAACACCATAATATTACTATGATACATGACTAAAAAACATTATTAAAATATTGAGTGTCAGGTTTTGGTGGGATTATTTAGTGTGTATCAGAGTATAACACACTTACCAAAACAGGTTTATAACCAAGTTTTTCGAGATGCCGAAGTTTGACAACCAAGCCGGCTCGAGGATGTGTTGTGCCAAAGCAAAATGCAGTAGGTGGAGCGCAGACCACCGCAATCCTGAAATATAGGACAGACAAGAGCTAATTGTCTCTAAAACAACCTTCCAACAATCCAGAATTGGGGGGGGGGGAACATCTAGGTATGTGAGATTATCATGCAATTCTTCATACAAACATCACAGCTGTCTTGTGTTTTGCTACCTTTGGGCACATTCAGGTGACCCAGAATCCTCTGCATGGAGGTCGCAGGTTTCTTGTTTTGGACGAGGCAGAGTAATCACAAAGTCTAAAGCAAAGATTTAAAAAAAAATGTTAAATCCAACATAAAATGCCATTCACAACATCCATAATGTGAAACTTTTCTGAGTAAAATGATTCAACGGGAATGTAGAGATTTGATTGATTGTACAAAGTAATCTATTTTAGCTTATTTATAATAACATTATAATGTAAATGAATATGCAATTAATATAATGTGCATATTAAAAACCCACTTATTAGTACGGTGTTTATGTATAAGTCTTATAATTTTTTTATTACTATCAGTTTATTTTATATATTTTAATAATAATTTTTTTTATATTATACTTTACTGCTTTATGGACATTTCATTGTTGATAAATCTTATTTTATTCTATTCAAACATCTACTGGTTTATTATAAACTTTTGTTTTCATTTTCATTGCATAAATAGTGTGTCATACGCTTGTAAAGCACTTTGTATTGTATTGGATATCTTAATGGTGCTAAAAGTTTAATTTTTATTATGCAAAATATAATTTATTGTTTTTATCCTTTTGATTTTAGAGTCAATATAACCTGGACATGTTTTCCTGAAATTCATTTTTTTGTTTACACTTGTAAACACACACTTTAAAATGTATTGGAAGGTGCTATACATACAGTTTTATTATTTGAAATAATATAATAAATTACATCATATTATTTACATTATATTAATTAATTTAATATAATTATGTTATATTAAATATTCTTAAATTAATACAATAATAATAATAAAAATAAAGTTATGGTAATTATTTGGTAATAATAAATAATTAAATATAGTTACTATTACTTTTACCACCTCAACGCAGTTTGGGTTACACCAATATAAAAAGAAGTATTTTGTAAGGACGAGAAAATTATACTTATCCGAAACCTTTTGAAGATTTCTGTTTTTTAAAGTCTGAGCTGTGGTCTAGCGATTAGCGCATCTGCCTCGACACATTGAGCTTCTGGTGCTCATGTGGTAAATGTTAGTTTGAATCCTGCCACTGTAAATAACACTAAGCTTGAACAGGGAATCAATAGAAAACGGCACAGAAACACGAGATTCATCTCACCAATGAAGTAGAAGCTCTCCTCCAGCACACTGTCCTGAACCGCATCATCTCCCACAATGCTCCTGATTGCACTGAGCATTTCCTGGTTGACTGGGACTTTATGAGCAGGAACTGTGAAGTGGAAGTCTGGGATAGACCTCAGGGAGTGTGGCAACTGAGGTTGATCCAGTCGCAGACACAGACCCAACATGTGCAGCCACCTCTGAACCTTATTTGACCGGTTGCCTGTGAGGACACAGAACAGATGACAGCTGAAATGAGATGCACTTTGGATGAGGAGAGAGAGGAAGTACAGATATTAACCTTTCTGTAGTATTTGGTCCAGGGTTTCCTGCAGTAGCAGTTTATCCAGTAGGGTTTGAGGGACGTGCTCCAGCAATGCCAGACAGTAAATGGCTTTCAGTAGGTCGTTGGAGGACATCTTTGGAAGGTAGGACTCTAAGACCTTCGTTAAACTGGCCAGAAACCTAATTAAAAAGCAGCAAGTATAAGTTTGCTGAAGTCAGAGACATGCCTGTTCTGCAAAAACAACTTTTGCTTTGAGTTTTTGGAGGATTTATAATTGTTGAATATTCTGATATATAAGAATATTTATTTTAATTGGAAAATAATTGAATATACATTACAGTTCAAAAGTTTTAGGTCAGTAAGATTTAAAAAAAAAAAAAAAAAAATTAAGAAATGAATGTTTTATTCAGCAAGTATGTATTCAATTCATCAAAAGTGACAGTAGGGACATTTATAATGTTGTTCTATTTCAAATAAAGTAAGTTCTGTTGAACTGTCCATTCATCCAAAAAATATTAAAGTGGTCCTTTTTAGGGATATGCGCAATGACTAATTTAGTTAACGTTTAAATGGAATTTTTTGCAACCGACTAGTCTAAACTTGTCTTAAAAACGCCTTGACTGTAGTCTCGAGTTCTTCGGGAACGAACACATCACAATATTCCTCATTTAAACAATTCCCGCCCAAGGCATACGCAAAATAAGTTAGTAGTGTGTTGAAACTCGCGGTTATGGTAAGGGGTGAGACATTTCCCAAACACGCTCGAAATGGTTGTTCAATCATAACACACTGATCCAGCTGACCAATCAGAGTACAGTGCGCTTTTCAGAAGGCGGGGCTTCATAGAAACAGGAACTGAACAGAGCGCTACTGACGTGATGTGTTGAAATTATGTGTTTTTAAAAAAACTAATATGAAAACCTATTCTAGTAGACCCCGAAAAACAAAATCAAGACTTTGAAAAGGGACATAACCTTTATCAGCATATTAGAATGATTTCTGAGGAATCATGTGACACCGAAGACTGGAGTAATGCTGAATATCACAGGAATAAATTACATTTATTTCAAATAGAAAAGATATTTTAAATTTCATTAAAATTTCACTGCATTTCTGAACAAATGATTGCAGTCTGGGTGAGCTTTCAAAAACATCTGAAAATAAAATATCTTACCGACCTCAAACTTGACAGTGTAAGTGAATGAGAATTAAAACAATGGCTTACTCTGTTTTTTTCTCTTTCAGGTCATGATTGAGGAGCGAATAGACTTTTAAAACACTAAGAAGGTCTTTCAGGGTCAGACTGTCAGGGTTCTCGATGATTCTCTCCACAAATGCATCCAACAGGACCACAGGTCTGAACAAGAGATCCTCAAATGATACTAGAATGAGAATAACCTGGAAAACATGGGGGGAAAAAATCAGAGTATTTGTTTCCGAAACATTATGCTCAATAAGACTGCATTTATTTGAGCAAATGTATTGTGCATTCCTCTTTAAATGTACAGTGCAGTTTCACTTGGATCAGCAGATCGCACCTGTTTGTTGTTCCACATATCAAACGTGTTGGCCATGTACTCGGAGACAGAGCTGAAGAGGGTGTGGTTTCTGTAGCGAAGCTCATGGCAGGACTTCAGTACGGACAGAAGCCTACCGAAGGGAAATTCATGCACATTTTCTGCAGGAAACAATGAAAGGTTAAGTGACAGTGACTGGTCTTGATTCACTCATTCTTGCCGTTTACTGTAGTTCTGAGAGGATCATGGTCTTTCTCACCAGCTATGTTCTTGCTGCAGACATCCAGCAGAGGTTTGAAGTTCAGGCCCATGGAAGCCAGGCTGGAGAACATGTACTGGCTGTTGGGTGGATTAAACTCATCTGCCAATGACAGAGTCTTTATCTGAGGGGGAATAGAGAGGAATCGAGCTAGAAACTGATCATGACAAACCACTATTTCATTCAAAATGATTGGCCTTTGTTAGGTTGAAAGCCTTGAAACAATAATCATTTCTTGTTAGACAGCTGCAACATGTTAGGATTATTTTATCCCAGAATCATAAGAAGAGAAATACTCAATTATATTTTGCATTGAAAAAAAAAAAAAATCTATATAGCAAAATGTTTTGTGATATCATTTATCACAATTAAGCACAATTTCCTTCACAAATTGTTACTATCATAATGCAATCTCATTCTCATCCCTGTAATGTGAAAAGTAACTAAATCATTTACAAAAATATGAATTATAATTAATACAAAGAGAAAAAAATGTTTTTCCCCAAACTGTAAAGTATTTACATATCATGGTTGTAAAAAAATTAATAAATAAACAATCACTATTACAGGAATGAGAATTTAATGAGAACTACTACTAAGGGTTGTTGTTATTGTTGACTAAAACTAAAACTTATAAAAACAGTTCTGTTCATTGAAATAAAGCTGAAATAAAATAAATATAAATATTAGTTGAAAAACTTAAACTAAATGAAAATTAGAAATGTTGCATTGGCAATAAACTGAAAAAAAGTTTAATTTGAAGCACTAATATCATTAACTAGAAAAAAAATACAAAAATAAAACTAACTAAAACAAAAATAAATTCAACCTAAATGGCAATATAAAAAAAATATAAAAAAAGAATATGACAAAGGCACATAACGAAATTACTAAAAATTAAACAAAAAAATTAACATGAAAACTAACATTTTAAAAACACTCCTTCGGAATATTAATAAAACTATAATAACACAAAAATAAAAAATAAATCTGTTTTTTTGTTTAAACATTTTTATTAGATTAATCCACAGAAATCAATTGATTGAGAAATCCAATTTCTGTGCGAGTGTCAGTAAACAATGCATTTTAGGTGATATACATTTTATGTGAATAAATCATAAATCTAACCGCCAGCTGTTTCTTCAGGTGTACCGGAGAGTTTTTGCCCACCGCACGCATCATGCTCTGCAGGACAACCACGCTCTGGATCTCAGGAATACGATCCTTCAGCAACAACCTTCAAAACCAGAACACAAAGTGATGAAAACACACACACACACAGATGTCACACATTAGGTCATATTAGGGCTGTATCTATCTGCACACCTTAAAGCCTCCTTTAGGGCCTGAACGTTCCTACAGTCCTCCATCTCCCGTATACAGCCAGCCAACACCGAAAGAGCTTTTATTTCAAACTGATTCAGCCGTTCCTGAAATCAGCATAATAGAAGGATCATGTGACACTTAAGACTGGAGTAATAATGTTACAAACTCAGCTTTGCATCACAGGAATAAATTATATTTTAGAATATATTCAAATAGAAAACTATTATTTTAAATTATAATATTTCACAACACTACTGTTTTTACTGTATTTTTGATCAAATAAATGGTGAAGAGACTTCTATCAAAAACATTTAAAATAAATAAATATATTATACACAGAAAATCCATTTATTAAATCAAATCTGAATTTAAATATGGTACAGCTATTACAACATTCATGATTGTGATTTAAAGGTGCAGTAAGTGATTTCTGAGAAACACTGTTGATATATGTGCAATCAACCTAAACATCCCTACATTGCTCCACTGCCAAAATGCACAAAACACAATGCAAGAATGGATGTCTTTTTACATTTATGCATTTAGCAGATGCTTTTATCCTTTATCATAGCTGAAGAGAATCAAAATAATGCTTTGTGAAAAATAAAGCTAAGACAACGAATAAACCAGAAGGAAGAACGAAAAATTAGCATATAGTACACAAGAGTAGCCTATATACAAGCAATTGTTCGTTCACCAGCTCCAGACCACGATGACACTCAAAACTGTACATTACTCTAGCTAATATTACAACAACAGCATATCTTGGTTCTGTGAAACATAGCAAAACTAATGTTACTCATGTATGGACGAGAAACAAAGCAACTTTAGCGTCTGTTTTCAGACCTTCCCGCTTCGGTCTCTCCAGCGCTGGAGAAAAGCCTTTCTAATATTAACGTGGGTCCTAAAGCTCTTGCCTGCTCGTAACCCTTCTTTTTCCAGTGATATTCCTCTGAGCTTTTCTCTTTTGTAATGTCTCTCATTCAGCTCACTTTCTATAGTCTTTTTACAAATCTCCCTCTTGCTCACTCTCTCTCCTCCCCATTATGAGTTGACACGCCCCCTACTGCTGCTGATTGGCTACAAATGTGTTGTGTGTGTGTAATAGACTTGTAGTCAAGACCGCCTAAACCGAGACCAAGACACTACCAAGACCAGAGGGTATCGAGACCAAGACCAAGACCAAGACCAAGACCAAGACCAAGACCGAGACCGAGACCGAGACCAAGACCGGAGGGGAAAAAAACAGACTAGTGTTGAAGCTAAGTAATAACTTGTAAGATTTTGTTTTGCATTGCCTGCTCCAAATGAATCCATTCTGCAAATTTTAAATACATAATTATATTTTAAAAAATGAAATTATAAGCTAAAGTCCAGGATCCGAAAGTTGGTTGTTTGTTATGGTTACACACACACACACACACAAACACACCGTTGGCGGTGCGCTCAAAGTCATCTGTCAGTTGTGCAGTTACCCAAAATCTCCTGAATGAAGTTGAAACACTGATATGTGTTTTACTAAATATTAATACATCAAAAACTGTACATGATATGTGTTTTTTAAATCAAGTGATCTAAGTGCTCGTTGCCGCTGCGATCAGTGGCGCGGATATGGCTCGCGCACCGCACTGTCTTCACTCGGACGCGCGCTTCAATCCGTTGCGGATATCGTCGTGGATATTGATATTGCTAAATCCCCCGACCACTATGTCGGTCTGAGACAACGAGACCTAGACAAGACCGAGAGGTCCGAGACCAAGACAAGACCAAGACCAAAGACCGTCAAGGCCGTGACAAGACCGAGGCCACGTAAAAGTGGTCTTGAGGCCAAGACCGGTCTCGAGACATACATCACTATTGTGTAACAAGTGTGTACTCTGTCCGATCCACTTTCAATAGCATTTCTCAGAAATTGCATACTGCACCTTTAATGAAAATTCATATTTTCAGCCTAGAAGACAAAACCTTTAAAGGAGTAGTTCATTTTTTTTAAAACTTTTGCTGATAATTTACTCACCCCCATGTCATCCAAGATGTCCATGTCTTTCTTTCTTCAGTCGAAAATAAATTAATGTTTGAAAATTTTTCTCCATATAATGGACTTCAATGGTAGCCAAACGGTTCAAGGTCTAAATGACCGTTTCAGTTCAGCTTCAAAGGGCTTTAAACGATACCAGACGATGAATAAGGGTCTTATCTAGAGAAACGATCTGTCATTTCAAAAATAAATAAAAAAGTTAAAGTTTTATAGGCACAAATGCTCGCCTTGCGAACTCTCCTGTTCGAACTCGTTTATCAAAATGAACGAATCTTTTTTCGAGTCATTGACTCGTTCATTTTGATGAACGAGTTCGAACAGGAGAGTTCGCAAGGCGAGCATTTGTGCCTATAACACTTTAACTTTTTTATTTATTTTTGAAATGACCGATCGTTTCGCTAGATAAGACCCTTATTCATCGTCTGGTATCATTTAAAGCCCTTTGAAGCTTTACTGAAATGGTCATTTAGACCTTGAACCGTTTGGTGCCCAGCAAAGTGCATTATATGGAGAAAAATCCTGGAATGTTTTCATCAAAAACATTAATTTCTTTTTGACTGAAGAAAGAAAGAGATGGACATCTTGGATGACATGGGGGTGAGTAAATTATCAGCAAAAGTTTTTTTTAAAGTGAATTAATCCTTTAACGTGATTACATTCACATGACTTGACTCACCTGTATAACACGCAGCAGCGTCTGCACAACACGCGTGTTTTGTGAAACTCCCAGGTTGACCATGCCCAGCAGAGTGTAGGCCAGATCATCGCTCTTCATGCGCCAGGCTTCGGCCGCAGCCCGTTCACAGACCTCCTCAAACCCCGGGTGCTCATACATCAGCCGCAGCTCACAGCTCCGCTGCTCATCCGTCAATTTCTTTGTGCTCTCCCACATGCGTGTGAAGATGTTGCTGATGAGATGCTGCGACGCTGGGAACTGCTTTAACGTGTCCAGCACATCAGTGGGGCAAAAACAGTTCTGCAAATGGCTGTAGATAGGAGTCCTTTCTGCTTTATTCAGGGGTTCGCTGGTCTCTGTAGAAGCTGCAGTTTGCTTAGTCGGAACATTAAGAACATCGTAACCACCCTGACTGTAATACCGGACTTGTTTTAATGTGTGTCCTTGAATGTGTTTTCTTCCCAGCTGAGATGATACAGCAAAGCTTCTGCTTTTATAACATAAAGACATCTGTGTCCGTCTAAAAGACTCAGATGTCCACAGCGACGTGGATCTCAGAGCACATCTGAGCATGTCCAAACCTGATTTATACATGCTCATCGTGGGTGATTCTCCAAAGCTTCAGATGTGATGTAACCTGTTTCAACAAACAAAAAGGTCAGACAGAAACCGCTGTACTTACTACATTTTTTTTTACTAGTGGGTACAGGACACTATAGTTAATTTATGTAATAGCAAAATAAAGTAAACTGTGACATATTATACCCAAAAAATGCTTCATACAGTGGACTACCAGTAAAACTGATACATATTTGGGACCCAAAATTATTCAGACACTTGTCTGTGTTTTTTCTTTAATTGCTAATTCAACCTTTTTACACCACAGACTGAACAAAACTAAGCATTGCTTGGTAATTGGTTGACCATAACTTGGTATTATCTAATTGTGTACTTAAATTTAACAACTGACAGATATTCAACCTAATTCATTTGTGAGACAGTCTGACAGACGGATGGACAAAACCAGTGAAATATCAAATGAGTTCTTGTCATATTTTATTACCATTTTCTAAACTATAGCGAATAAACTGTGATAATGTGAGAAATGTTAAAGGTGTCTGAATAAATGTTGGTTTGACTGTAGGTCACTTTTTTAAAACTTTTCAATCACACAGTTCTCTTTACCAACTTTCAGTTTGGCACAGCTTTTAATTTCACATTCAAAATCCACTAAAACGACCAACACACTTCATATATGTCTCAAATTAGCTAATTCTATCAACACTAGCACATTTTGTTAAACAATGAGCTAAAACACACTGACAACAGGTGCATTTTACAATGTTTTCTATTGTACATTTCTTTACAAGACAAGAATGACACTATCTCTACTAACTGTAATTCACTGCAGTATGTGTTACATGATCCATGTTTACATTACAGTACAAAATTAGTTTTCTTATCTGGTATAGATGGTAATAATGACACACACAGAATATGTAGTGTACTATGTAGGTGTTCAGCTACATCTAATTGTTTTGATATTTTTTTCAATACAGTAATATTACTGTATAAATGTTGCAAATTGCAACAGTTTTATTCAGTTTTGTATTGTTAGATTTTGAACGTAAGTTGTAACCGTTTTGAAGACACTATATAAAGATCTTGAAATATTAGAATCAGAATAACCCAGAAATAAATTTATATTTGTATGTATCTGTCTGATTATCAGCAATACATTTCAACCCGAACAAATAGATAGCCAAATGTTGAATTTACCTACAGACATAAATATAATAAAGTGAAAAATGTAAATACACTTAGAGGACAGCAGCTTTGTGCTTATATTGCATTCATGTCCTTGTACAGAAACCTTGAAGAAATGCCTCACAATTGCTGTAAAACTATTGTATACTATTTACATGTTTGCAGTTAATAATGACAGTCATATATTTTAATGCGCTCTTGATACTCATAATATAAGGATCTTACCATTCGGTTGTTGTTGTCTTCACACATGTGTACTGATCTGCTCTCACTGTGAGCGCAGCCATGACAGAAAGGGACAGAAACAGGGAGCGCGCGCACGATTGCTGCCGCACGATAGTTCCGCTTGTAGTATCGCGTGGTTGTTTTTAAAACCCCGTCCAAATGGTGAAATAAACACATATAAAACTTGTTTAATCCATATTATGCATAAAATGTTATTTTAAAATCATAAAAAAATAGATTTGAAAAAAGAAAGAAATTTCCCCAGGAACATTTTATGCGGAACACTGTCTATGGAAACACATGTTACCTAGCAACGGACGCGCATGTGAATGGACTATGGCAAAATTTGTTCTTGCAGGTTGGTCAGTTTTATGGCTAATTAAACAAAACTACAGAGATTAGTAACGTTACTTTAATTAAAGCAAACGTAGTCAGCGTTCTTCTGTCTGTCTGTCTGTCTGTCTGTCTGTCTGTCTGTCTGTCTGTCTGTCTGTCTGTCTATCTATCTATCTATCTATCTATCTATCTATCTATCTATCTATCTATCTATCTATCTATCTATCTATCTATCTGTCTGTCTGTCTGTCTGTCTGTCTATCTATCTATCTATCTATCTATCTATCTATCTATCTATCTATCTATTTGTTTGTCTGTCTGTCTGTCTGTCTGTCTGTCTATCTATCTATTTGTTTGTCTGTCTGTCTGTCTGTCTGTCTGTCTGTCTGTCTGTCTGCCCTAAAAGTTAATGCCACATTATTGCTGTAACTGTAGTTTCTTCTAGTCAAACCCCTTCAGTATGATTATAGTAAATCATGTCACAGTCAGCAGCATAGTATTATCTATTCATCTGTACAGGAAAAGCTGGTTGTCCTTATTATGCCAAAGCTGAGCTTCTTGCTGATGTGCTGCAAAGAAACCTGCCAGATTTTCACATTCACAAGATCTGTGTGCAGCCCAGTGACTGGGAGGTAAACCTCTGAGTCTGAGTTCACGTGGAGCTTTAAGAGCTCTTTAATCATTTTCACACCGTTCACAATATTTTTACAGTTTTTCTCAGTCGCTTTGGTGCATTTCTCACATCACTATTTACATTTGCACAACAGTTAATGCAGTTCTCAAAACAATTAGTACAAACTACAAAACCTAGTTCATAACCTGCAAATGCGTGTCACTTGCTCAAAATGGATAGCTCATTCCTCAAAAGCAAGTATTCATGTCAATGAAAGTGTCAATGTCATTAAGATGAAAAGTCCTGACACCACTGTTTATGAACAAAATAGTCAAATGGCTTTGTCATGTTTTCATTATGACAGTTTACTCTGTAAATGTTTTCCAATGCAAAAAAGTCAGATCTTGGTGACACTACCTGAAAATGCTCAAGACAGCACTATATACTATTTGCACAGCCATTTTAAAACTACAGTAAAGTTACACATTACTGTATTTAGTGAGGTAACTGAGTACAAGACACTGAATATGTATGTTTCACATTTTTACTGCATATGCTCTTTGCAATTCTAATTTGTTCACAGCATTGTGCAAAAGAAAAAATACACCCTTATTTACAACAAACATAAACTCCCTTTGGGTAGAGCTGTGCACAACTGTAAACAATATTGCAGTACATGAACTGAACATACAACATACATAGTACACTCTCAGAAAAAAGGTACGAAAGCTGTCACTGGGGCTGTACCTTTTCAAAAGGTAAACTTTTGTCCCTTTTAGGTACTAGTATGTACATTTTAGGTGCTAATATGTACATTTTGATTTAAGGTACTAATATGTACATTTTGATTTAAGGTGCTAATATGTACATTTTAGGTACTAATATGTACATTTTAGGTGCTAATATGTACATTTTGATTTAAGGTACTAATATGTACATTTTGATTTTAGGTGCTAATATGTATATTAAGGTACTAATATGTACATTTTAGGTGCTAATATGTACATTGTAGGTACTAATATGTACATTTTAGGTGCTAATATGTACATTTTAGGTGCTAATATGTACCATTAAGGTACCAATATGCACCCTTTAGGTACAAAAGTGTACCTTTTGAAAAGGTACAGACCCAGTGACAGCTTTTGTACCTTTTTTTCTGAGAGTGTACTGTAAATCATTCATGCACATCCATACGTTCCTCTCTGCTGGCCACATAAGTTCACCTGAGAGAAACTGTTCAATTTAGGAGACATTTTCATGAAAGAAAAAATATATATTTTTTTTTGTTAATTTGCTTGACAGATTTTGACAACTAGTTCAACATTTTTGTATGTGATGACTCAAGCAATGAAATGAGGACTATTCGTTTTATATGGAATGACTATTCAGCATTCACAAGTATAGTTAATTTTGACTAACACGACATACGGTAAGCAAATGATAATGTTATAAAACAGCAGAGAGTTGTATGAAAGCAATTGATGCATGTCCAAAAGCATTTGCAATTTGTTGGAAGGAATGAGAAACTGCTACTATGATGTGCACAAATGACTAAATGTTGTGGAGGTTGAACTAACTGTTGTGCAAATGTAAATAGTGATGTGAGAAATGCACCAAAGCGACTGAGAAAAACTGTAAGTTGAACTAAAGATTTCCTTGACTCATTTATGTCTTTTATTCATATTGAACCATCTTTCTTTGTAGACATGGCTGGAGGACACATGTGCATCAAATGGATGGACGCATTCAAGCTGTCCTTTAGTATGGAGGGAGCTGATCGATCGCGGGGGGAAAGGAATGCTCCTCGGTGGCTTCAACGATTTCCTTGAGCATGCTCAGGTTTGCATGATAGGATACCAAAATAAAACAGAGGAATCAAGCAAAAAAGGATATAGTCCATATAAATTCATTTTTCTGAGTTGCTTTGGCTCATTTTTTGAAAACGCTTGCGAAATGTAGTCACTCACCAAACAAATTTACTCTTTTGCACACAAGTATATCGGTACTAAAACACACGCAAATCATAAGTGAGCAAGAAACTTATTGTTCAGAGATCTGAACTTATTAATTAAATCACATTTGAGAATCGATCCAAAGCAATTGAGAAAAACTGTAACAGCTGCTGTGCAGTGATTGTTTTGCAACAAAAAAAAAAAGTCAGATAGTTATATACTGCGGTACGAAAGCTCCAAACGCAGCTTTATTAGGGGTAATCATATCACACAAATGGTCAAAACACAGGGCAAACAGGGAAATCCAGGAAACCAGGCAGTAGATCAGAATACATAATAGGCCTACAGAAAGCACTCAGAAATGCAGTGTAACACAAACAAGACTTCACTAAGTGAGAGTGAACACACAGGGCTTATATAGGCAAACCATAACAAGATAATGACACACGGGTGGAAGTGATCAAATAATAATGAGTCATGAAGTTCATGATGGAAAGGCAAAGGAGTCAGGTGGAGTGTCCTCTAGTGGATATCAGATTTAATTTTTGCTCTTAAATTACTGCAAGATAATAATTAAACAAATACCTTCCATTTTAACTCGCAGTGACCAAAATGACTGCAGAAAGTTGCTCTCTGCCCTGAATTATATTACAGTAATTCAGCATCTGATCCAAGATCAGCGACATCCTGTTTCATTTAGATACTGTATGTGAATATCAATACTTTTGTCCTCTCCTGCAGGGTTACTATGGCATTACCTCAGATATGAACTCTGATCTGATGCTAAAAATTGCAGCAGAGAATCAACAAACGAAAGAACTGTGTATGAAGGAGGAAGTTCACAGACTCGAGTCTCTCAGACCTCTGCACATCTGGATCAGCAGGTGGATGTGTTTTATCAGGCCCCTTCGCCTTTAACGTGCTCCTATTATACTTTTTGGGATATTACATTTCACGCAGTGTGTAATATAGCTGTTTGTGAATGTTAAAGGGATAGTTCACCCAAAAATGTTAATTCTGTTACAGTACTCACCCTCGTGTCGTTCCAAACCTGTAAGACTTTCGTTCATCTTCGGAACACAAATGAAGGTCTTTTTGATTAATTCTGAGAGCTTTCTGTCCCTCCATTGACAGCTATACGCAACTACCACTTTGCCGCTTCAAAAATTTCATAAAGAGATCGTAAAACTAATCCATTTGAATTGAGATAGGAGACCTCCAAAACAAAATGAGGATCCTTTAAAATAGCATAATAGGGGCACTAAAATAGAGTTATTATTATCTTGAGATGCATGACATTTAACCTGAGAAAAACCTCTTTCAGCGCCCTGAACCCCATCTGCTACAGCCTCATTCCTCAGTTGTTCACCCCGGGACTGTTTCCAGGTCTCCCCCTGTTCACCCTTCACCTCATGGACACCTTTGGGTCTGAGGAAATGATGCAAGGACTCAAGATGGAAACAGAAGACCTCACCCTACCTCAGCTCCATGAGGTCACCGTCCATTCAGACCAGACTGAGGCGTTTCAGGAAGCCCACTTCATCATCTTTCTGGATGACCTGCAGCCTATATGTGAAAGTAACAATGATCCAGATGACAAGGAGCACACGGTGAGCCGGGTGGCCGAATGTTTCTGTCGTTATGGGCAACTCATCGAGGCGAATGCACGGAAGGACGTGAGAGTGATAGTGGCAGGAGACTCCTTTATTAACCTGAAGTGCTCGCTGTTAATTGAGAACGCACCCTCTGTTGACCCGCACAACTTTGTGGCAATGACAACGCAACTAGAATACGAGGCAAGAACTCAGCTTGCGCAGAAGTTCTCGGTGAAAACAGCAGGTAAAATAATAAATATTTGTTCTAATATTCAATTGCAATAGAATGATACATTACTATTTTGATATGATTCATCATTATTTTCGAAAATATTCTGAAGACATTCACAAGCTAATGAAGTATATGTATTATTACATACAATTTTATATTAATATAAATGTTTTATTAAAAACATGTATATATATTCATTTTAATCAATGTTTAAATAATTAAAACAATAAATGATATTAATTATAGATAATTATAGTAATACCATAAATATATAATTTAAAAATAATAAATAATTTTATTATTAAAATAATTAAAAAATAATTAATATTGTCTTTTGCTGTGCATGCTCAAATTTCCCCTTTTTATTATATTCACATATTTCATTTTTATATTAATACATATTTTTTTATAAAATATAATATATATATATATATGTGTGTGTGTGTGTGTGTGTGTGTGTGTGTTATATATTATATTAATTTTAATCAAGAATTACATTGTTAAAATAATTTTAAAATAAATGCTATTCATTTTAACAAATTAATACCATATATATATAATTTTTTATAAATATATAATAAAATAATATTAATAAAATAAATTATGCTTTTCTTACTGTCTGTCTGTTCGTGCTCAATTTTTAATTTTATTTTTATATTCACAGACATAACTGATGTTGTCGTATGGGGAAACATCAGTGGCAGTTTCCATGTTGACCTGCAGAGGGCGGAGCTTCTCAGATATGACGGCGCAATTCGGGGACCAGATGGTTTTTCTCAGCGAGTTATGGAAATGATTTATGATTGGTAAAGGTCATTGTGGAGCATGACTCAAGCCATATGCCTCTTTTATGCAATTCCGTTATGAATCAATTTATGAATTATTCTAAAGGGTACAATTTTATCTGTAAACAAGAGTGTCATCTTCAGATAAACACAAGCAAATTCCATACATATCTTAAATTGTCTAAATGCATTTGCCATTATGTAATTATACTCATGTTTTGTTTTATAAGGAAATGGCTGGAGACAGATTTTATGAGTTTAGTACATAAACATCGTGCCACAATTTCGTCGAAGACCAACAAAGCCACGGCAATATCATCAACCAATGGAATAATGACCATTTTAAGGGCGTGGAATAATGACGCTTCTCCAGAGGACGCTTTCTCAATGGGTGTACTTAGTACAGGCAAGACCATTCAAATCATTCTCAAACATTAAATAAATATGACTAACAGTATGTTAAAAAAAAAAGATGATGCCTTAAATTTTTAAGTAGGCTACAATCAACTTGGATGTTGAAGTCATTTCAACTTAAATCACATTAAACTGACTTAAAAAAATAGTTGAACCTTGTATATAACTAAAAAAGTTGAATTTATTTTGACGATTTAAAGCCATTTAAATACACATGTTGTCATAACTTATTGATCATATCATTTTGTACAGTGTATCTTAGTTAATTTATAAGCTAATGATGCTTGTAAATGTCTGACCTTTCTAAATCTGCAGGGCAGTTTGGGATTCCAGCAGGTTTGGTGTTTTCTATGCCTGTGAGCTTCAGGGATGGTTGCTGGACAGTTCGCTCAGATGTTACTGTTACAGATGAGCTGAGGGTAAAACTTGATGCTTGTGCTGATGAACTTAAAATGGTGAGTGCAAAAAGTGTATATATATATAGATAGATAGATTCAACAGTACTTAATCAATGAAATGATCCCATGATGGGAATCCCTAAAAGGTTATATTTAAAAGAAAAAAAAACCTTTAAGGTTCTTCTGTATATGGAGTGTAAAGTAAAATTTTCTTGAGTGTAAAGCTTATTAGCTAACCAGAGAAAGTTCTCTGCTTTTTTAGAAAGTTTTGGAAACCGCAAAGATTATTTAGTGTAAGTTTGCTGGCACTTTAAATAACAAATAAATACACGCTTTTATGTGCTTCTTCCTGATAAGACATGGATAGAAGACTTGATCAGTTTTGATAAGATCAATGTTGTTTTATGTATTTATTTGCTTTAGGAGAAAGACATTGCTGCTAGAATATTGAAGAAAGATGAATGACGGCTCTCCAAAAGCAGACTTCAGTGACTCACTCCTTCAGTAACCTGACACATCATCATTCTAATAAGAATTACACAATCTCGATGCTTTAAATGTGATGACCTTGGCTTGGCCCATAAAAATCTTTAACTCGATTCTTGAGAGACTCTTGTTGAACTTGATAGGCTTTAATAGTGTCATGCAATTTAACCAAACAAATGTGGTCTGGAAGACTATACAATTTCTTTCAGGTTCTCACTCTTTTCCCAAAAAACGAATTTGTGAATCAATACCAGAAGAACTTTGTGCTTAATTAATACTTTAATAGGTGATGCACTCATAGTTGCCATTTATTGGTATATGCTATCATTTCCTTAATCTAACTTTGAAAATGAATTTTCCAAATGGTTAGAGCAGTTTTTTGGAGCCTCAGCAAACTTTTAAGAGGGCTGGAGGATGTCTTAAAAGTATTTAAATTAATCAATTATTATAATAAAAAAAAAAAAATCTAACTTCAAATTAAAATGCTAAAAAAGCACATAAAATGTTCTTCCCTCAATACACTCACCAGCCACTTTATTAGGTACAACTGCTCTTTAACACATATCTAATCAGCCAATCACATGGTTGTTGGACTGGTAACCAGACTGTTGACGGTAGCCATTGACTTCCATAACAGGAAAGAAATACTATCGAAGTAAATGGCTGCCGTCAACTGTCTGGTTACCAACATTCTTCAAATTATCTTCCTCTTTTTAGTTCAACAGAAGAAAGAAACTCGTACAGGTTTGGAACAACATAAGGGTGAGTTAATGATGACAGAATGTTTATTTGTGGCTGAACTTTCCCTTTAATTCCAAAAACCTCTGTAATGTTTCCATACTTTGAGATTAATCACCACCAATAATCGAGATTACAGTCACCTCCAACTATAAGCAGTGCCGCCATCTGCGTTGGGTTGTGTTGCCAGCTCACCGCAGGCCTGTCAAAATGCCTTACCTCACATGACCTTTCCCATGCCTGGCTTTATCTCTCCCTGTTCCTGAAGCACAGTCAGCAAATATTTCATGCAAAAACATATCAAAACCTGGACTCTTACATCAGAGGTTTTCAATCTTCTAGACACCACAAACCCCAAATTCTTCCTTGTGTAAGGGACTGCCGTCCTAAAATTTAAACGGATATTTTAAAGTATAAAGACATGGACTGTGTCTAAATTTCAAGGCATCAAGGCACGTCCAAATGTTGGCTTCACTTCCTGTCTCCTGAGATGGAGATGGATTTCTGAAGGCAGCATAGATGTATCCTTCGCTGTCTTTGATATCCCACAATCCTGTGCGAGCTAAAAAATAAACATGGTGTCTGAAAGTTGCGGTTGGTGGTCAGTTTGTGTGTAAATTTACATTTTTGACCAACGTTTTCCACTTTTCTAGCGAGAAATTACTATTGTGGTAATTAAATAATTGCTTAGTTATCAAAAGTTCGCTCTATTTTGCTGTAGATCATTAAACCGTTACGTTTCCTCAGAAGTCAGTCAGAAATCAGTTTCGTGACCGATAAGGCAGCGAGGCAACAAGTCAGCTGCCTACATATTCGGACACAGCCATGAACTTCTTCCCTGCCACTGACAGCATTTTCCAGCAATCCATGTTTTCAGTGTTAAAAACAGGCAAAGAAAAAGCAGAAACAAGCGATAGAAGCATTGTATCGCATATGTAAACTATTGCGATCTTCAAACATTAAACAGCATATAAATGAAAACTGCCTAATGTTACCCAATGAAAAGTGGAACCATGAAGAGGTACAGGACTGTGAAGCTTTGTGGGTGTTGATGGACTCGATCTACTCCATGTTTTGATCATCGTTTAGTATTCGATCCTGGCATTGCCTTTGTACAAAGATGTTATATGAAAGTTTTGTGAAAATGATAATAAAAAAAATAAATGCTGGAGCTGGCTGGCAACTTTTTTGTAAAACGCTGGCAGAGAAAGAGTTAATACGGTGAAGAATTAATATGCGTAACATTATATGTGGAAAATATTTAGTTTTTTATTGCATTACATGAACTTTTTACACACTATAGTATGGAGGACCAAACCTAAAGAAACTATAAATAACTGCAACACATGACTTAATAACATGACCAACCCTTTAGAAGATACCTTTAGAATAAAATATGTATAAATTTCTTATTTTAATCCAATCTATTTATTTAAACCAATTTTCATTCGTTTATTATTTTAAGCATTTATTTAAATCAAATGTATAGATTTATTTGCATCATATGATATTTTTTATTTTAATCAAATTTAGTTTAATATTAGTTTTATTCAACTTTTCCACAGACCCCCTGGCACTAATTGCGGACCCGTCTGAAAAACGATCTTTCTTGCCCCACAATGAAAACCCATAGACAGTAAAAGGGTGAAAACCATAGGTGAAAACCCGATTCTGAACGTCCATATTGGATCCTGTGACGCCACAACCAGTGTAAACCTGTCTATGGTGTAAACCAGGCGTGTCTTGGCAATCAATCAAGTTCAATTCGATGAGAACGGTCCCCCTTTTTGCTATTGGACCCCAGATATTTAGAGATATTGGAGGTGCAAGTCAGTCAACAAAATGACATTCAACAATACATTTTGTAGTTCAATGCTTTAAGTGCTTTTTTTTATAAATCAAAGCAGTAACAGCATGAGCAAAACACAATCACTATTAAACAAAGATAATCTCTGTAGATATCTGCGGTCTGGATCAGATGTGTATGAGGGTATCTACAGGAGAAGGGCTGAAACGCAACGCAAAAACACTGTCCTAACCAACAGACTGCGATGCGGCAAGCAACTCGTCTGTCCACTTTGAAATTAAAAACACAATCACAGCAACACAGAACATGTTTGCAACTACATGGCGGCGCAGAACTTTTGACCAATCAGCTTTCACAGTTGGCGAAACTCAAACTATAATGGAAGACACTTCTGACTGGTCACATTATGACTAGTTCGGGATGCGGTGTAATCCATTTAACTTTCAACTTTAAAGGAATGTTAACCTGTCAGCAAACAATGAACAGTTCTGTAAAAACCGATGTTACAGGCCATTAAATATATACATTGTTTTTATATACACATTTCCAGTTTAAAAGATATTTCCCTTTAGTAGAATTAATAATTGAAAATATACATATATATCAGATCATAAAATCATCTTATATTCATTGTGTCATGTAAGAAGTCACTTGGACCTTTGACATGAAGACAAAATAATAATCAAATTCTTTAAAAAATAAATCCCAAATATGCTGTTTGAGCTTTACTTTGTCAGTTCTAGAAATACTTGATGACATATTGAGTACATCTTATAAAGATAGATAGAAATAAGGCTCAATCATTCTCTTAGGATTCCCCTCTTATAAATGGTCATTTCAATTAAAAAAGGGGAAATAATTCAGTCAAGCTCATGCATGAACTCCTTCCAAACTTTGTACAGTAAAGATTTAGTTTATCGTTTAAATTATATTTCAGGCAATCTGTGACCACGTGATGTCATTTTTTACAATGCAATACAATGTACGCTACCACCACTGATCTATATAATGTCATTCTATATAGATCAGTGGCTACCACTCAAAAGTTTAGGGTCGGTAATATATATATATTTTTTTTTTTGGAAGAAGTTTCTTATGTTCATTTATTTGATTAAAAATAATTTGACACGCTGCTCAAGTAAAAATTCTATTATTAATGTCAAATATTAAGCAGCACAACAGCATGAAAGTTCAAATTTATTTGAAACGGAAAACTTTTTTTAAAATTATGAATGTCTTTACTGTAACATTTGATCACTTGAATGCGTCCTTGCTAAATAAAAGTTACATTTTCTTTGGAGGGAAAAAAATTATTACTGACCCCAAACTTTTGAATTTGGCATGGTTATGAAAATCTGGAAAAAGTCCTGCAAAATTTGAGCATGTACAGACCAACAAAATTTCAAAAGTGCATCCAATTATAATATATTGAACCTGAATATTGAAATATGAAGGTTAGGGTTCGACTCCTAATTCTTCGACATGACGTGTGTGTGTGTGTGTGTGTGTGTGTGGGGTGGGGCACAATGAACTGGGAATATTTCTGCTGGCTAAAGTAAACTATGCTGGATTCACGGTCACTTTTGTGCAAAAAAAAAGAAAAAAAAGAAAAGTGATATATACCTCAACAAAAAAAAAAATATATAGACAATCCAATATAAATTTTTCAAAACAATTTTCAGAAATTGATTTACACTTAATTGCAATGCAGTCAAATTTGCTAACTTTTTAAGTTCTGTGTACCAGCAACTTTATTATTTATTCGAGACATATTTAATAGTAAACTATTCTTCACTCCAACCAATTTCAATAAATAAGTCCATCCACTTCTTAGGTATATAATATAGAATATATTAGTTTAGCTATTCTTGTGAAAAGAAATCTTTGCCGCAACCAACTTTTCGTTGAGAATTTGCAGTCATATCCTGCTCATCCTCTCCTTAACCTACAAGCAAATCAAACTCGTGTTCTCGTGACCCGATGCATTAGACCCTATTGATAAACCAGAGGGCTCTTGGTCAAAATATACAACCATTGAAACTTGTACATCTATTTTAAGTCGCTTTTGAAATCCGAGTGGCTTGAGGTTATTTGGATCTGTCGAAAAACCTTGTAACCGTCGCGTTTAGGATTTGTCGTACATTTTGCGAGACGCGACATTCACCTGCTCAGGAAGCAAAAGCACACCAACGATCACAGTGATCTCACTCCCGAAAACAACAAAAAAGGCATAGTTGACTGCGACATTCCCTTTCACAAATCATATGTGTCAGTATATAGTATCTACATGGACTATAAATAAAACAAACAGTTTAGGTGACGGGAAGCTAGGACTCCTGCTGGTCCGTGCGCTGCTGACTGCTTGGGGGCGTGTCTTCGGAAGCCCCGCCCACTTCCTGTCCATCAACACCCAGGCCCAACACCTCATCCATCTGTTCCAGTTCGCTTTGGTCCAGTAGCTCAAAGTCCTCTTCTTCCGTGGGCACGAGTGTGACATCCGGCTGCTCTTCGGTGCTCGCTTCGGTGACGTCGGCGTCCTCATCCTCGTCCTGTTCGCCGGCTTCTTGGGCGGACGGCGACGCGAGGGGCGATTCCATCGGGCAAGGAGGCGTTTCGGTGGGAAGGAACGAAGCCATGGATGAGCCTTCGTTGGCCTCCGTAGACCTCAACAGGGCTGAGAGAGTGTTCTGTACTACGGTAGAGATGGCCGTGGTCACTATCTCCTCGCTAAGTGCTTCCAGGGACCTAGCGGGTTCCAGTGCCCTTCCCTCTTTCGCAGTACCCACAATGCTTTGGACTGCCCCCGCTGCTTGTCCATGTCCGTTGAAGTGCGTGTTGACAAAGTGGAGCGGAGATGCTAAGTGCTGGATGAGGAGGCTGGCTGGAGACAGGGCTTCCTCCTGGAGCTCAGATCCAGATGAGCCCAGGACGCCCAGCGGGAAACGGAACAGACCCGGCTCAATAGAAGGCATCTCGTCCACTGACGGGAACTCGGCTAGGTCTCTCGTGAACGCCTCCTCCGGTTCACTGTGCACGCTCTGCTGATCCAGGTCTGCTGATGAAAACAGAGAAACGCCATTAATAATCATTTCAAATAATTAGACAGTCATTCTGAGGTTGATTCCCGTGAAAAGTATAAACAGCGTGTCTCAGTGGCACTTTCAAAACAATTCAATTACGTAAATAGCCTGGCTAACGTCAGACCCAAGTCTCATAGGGAACCACATGTTCATTTTCTCGTATTTGAGGCGTGGTTTACGAATGCCCAGAGCCGTTTATTGGGTGCTAAGAATGTCTATCAAATGCGCCTGTACGTAGCTCATAGCCAATCGCTTCAATTATACCAGATGACGTATGTAGAGCGAAAGAAATTAGACAACGATGGGTCAGAGATTTATGTGTACACGATGGCAAATAAAAGAAAATAAAGACTCTAAAATATTTATATAAGATTTAGGCTACCCGGTAAAAACTTGTTTTTAATTATATTCAGTTTGGGTGAAAGTTGTGTATTATATTAAAAAAAAACCTAAAGTAAACTAGCCAGAAAATATTATATATAAACGTTCTTTTAGTTTATGTAACACACAGACAGCTAGCACAACCCAAATCAAACCCGAGTGTGTGGTTTCTTTGTGTTTTGTTTTTATCCGCGGAGTTGCAGTCTTGTAAACATATCGAAAGTATGACTGAAACTAATTAAATAGATTGGAGCCATTTTCTGGGTTGTTTTGTTGTTTAACATTTACACTCACCGGCCACTTTATTAGGTACCCCATGCTAGTAACGGGTTGGACCCCCTTTTGCCTTCAGAACTGCCTCAATTCTCCGTGGCATAGATTCAACAAGGTGCTGGAAGCATTCCTCAGGGAGTTTGGTCCATATTGACATGATGGCATCACACAGTTGCCGCAGATTTGTCGGCTGCACATCCATGATGTGAATCTCCCGTTCCACCACATCCCAAAGATGCTCTATTGGGTTGAGATCTGGTGACTGTGGAGGCCATTTTAGTACAGTGAACTCATTGTCATGTTCAAGAAACCAATTTGAAATGATTCGAGCTTTGTGACATGGTGGAAGTAGCCATCAGAGGATGGGTACATGGTGGCCATAAAGGGATGGACATGGTCAGAAACAATGCTCAGGTAGGCCGTGGCATTTAAACGATGCCCAATTGGCACTAAGGGGCCTAAAGTGTGCCAGGAAAACATCCCCCACACCATTACACCACCACCACCAGCCTGCACAGTGGTAACAAGGCATGATGGTTCCATGTTCTCATTCTGTTTACGCCAAATTCTGACTCTAACATCTGAATGTCTCAACAGAAATCGAGACTCATCAGACCAGGCAACATTTTTCCAGTCTTCAACTGTTCAATTTTGGTGAGCTCTTGCAAATTGTAGCCTCTTTTTCCTATTTGTAGTGCAGATGAGTGGTACCCGGTGGGGTCTTCTGCTGTTGTAGCCCATCCGCCTCAAGGTTGTGCGTGTTGTGGCTTCACAAATGCTTTGCTGCATACCTCGGTTGTAACGAGTGGTTATTTCAGTCACTGTTGCCCTTCTATCAGCTCAAACCAGTCTGGCCATTCTCCTCTGACCTCTGGCATCAACAAGGCATTTCCGCCCACAGAACTGCCGCTCACTGGATGTTTTTTCTTTTTCGGACTATTCTCTGTAAACCCTAGAGATGGTTGTGCGTGAAAATCCCAGTAGATTAGCAGTTTCTGAAATACTCAGACCAGCCCTTCTGGCACCAACAATCATGCCACGTTCAAAGTCACTCAAATCAACTTTCTTCCCTATACTGATGCTTGGTTTGAACTGCAGGAGATTGTCTTGACCATGTCTACATGCCTAAATGCACTGAGTTGCCGCCATGTGATTGGCTGCTTAGAAATTAAGTGTTAACGAGCAGTTGGACAGGTGTACCTAATAAAGTGGCCGGTGAGTGTATATGCGAATGTTGTACACCTCCCCATTACAAACTTGCAAAACTATCAATGTTATAAATGACCAACTTCTAAAAACAAATGTATAGTTGTCTTTGTAAAGAATTACTCGCTTATGTAGCTTTGGAGCCGCTGCTGTGACACTGTACAAACGCTTCCAGTGTGAATACTCTCGCGCGTCTGCAGCTGCAGTGACGATGTAAGTTAGTTACGCTGACGCGCTGCTCAAGTGCCGCTCACGCTTGCGGTGTGAAACCTATGTGTGAAACGGCCGTAAGGCTGCATCGAAAGGTAACTTCGCGTCTGCTGCCATGTTGGATCCATAGGTATAAACAAACTCCTTCGGTGTGTCGCATAGACACGTCATCGTCTTGCTGCTCCCTCCCCGTTCTGTGATTGGTTCCCTAAATGAGGCGAAAATTTGGTCCATGGTATCCAGACTACCTAGCAGCGTGAATAAAATTGCGCTGCGGCAAGGTAGTATGGGGAAACCCAGGCTATTACGTAAACTGAATTAAACAATTCGATTATATTTTGTAGAAATGCACTACATTTACGCACGGCACATATTTTTTTTGTCATACTGAACAAAGAATGTTTTATAAATTATTTACTCAAATTCAAATTTACATTAAAAAGGTTTAACAAAAGACTTGTTTTTACATATAAATTCAAATTTCAACAAAAATCGTAATTTACCTGAGATATACCTGAGAAATTTGTTTCTCATTGTTTTTTTTCATGAATGAGTTTTTTATTTGCAGACAGTCTGGACTTGCTGAGAATTAATTTCCCCCTCAAACTTTTTTCTTAACATGCCATTTTATATTTCTAATATATATTTGCATTTAATTTTTTTGCTTAATACTTTCACTGAAACTGTGGCATCGACATTAATATCTTTTTTTTTTTTTTTCAAATTATGATGTTTAAACACATAGGCTAAATTCTAAAATCTAGGCTAAATTATTTCACATAATTCAACAGAAAATATTAAATATTTTATTACATACAATGTTATATACACTACCGTTCAAGTTTTTTTGGTTTTTGAAAAAATATAATCCTTTTATTCAGCAAGGACACAATAAATTGATCAAAAGTGACAGTAAAGACATTTATAATGTTACAAAAGATTTCTAATTAAAGCTGTAGTCTGTAACTTTGGGCGCTCTAGCGGTTAATAAACAGAACCTCATGTGTCTTGCGGAAGAACATTGTAGCCGGAGCTACTTCTCTGTGTTTATGTCTATGGCGAGTCACGCAGGTACTGGGCTACTCCACAGCGGTACGACCCGAAACAGTCTAAAATAGTCCCAATATAAACACTTATTATAGGTGTACCGTACCGTAGTGATTCAGGATAAAACAAAAACACGGTTTGGAAAATGGATTCATGATGTACTCGCTTACATAATTTTGAACACAAAAAAAGTTACAGACTGCAGCTTAAAAAAAACGTTCTATTCATCAAAGAATCCAAAAAAAAATTGTATCACAAAAATGTACACAATGAATGTCATTGCTCAATAGCTAGTTTAGCGAGTGTGGCGCACTAGAAGCATTGGTACCCTCAGAGACGTCTGTGAGCTGTGGTGTCGTGGCTCTGGACACAGAGAAACCTCCACTCTCCAGTATAGACGCCTCCTCATCCGACAGCTCTGAGTCTGTGATGGCCATCGCCAGAGCCGTGGTCTTCACATCCACCTGCTCCAACAGAGAACCAATCACTGGCTGGAATCACACTGCCCTCAAACCTTTGGGCTCAGTAAGATTTTAAATAAGTAGTTTTATTCAGCAAAGACACATTATTTCAAGTGACAGTAAAGACATTAATAATATTGCAAAAGTTTTCTACTTCAAATAAATGCTGTTGTAAATTTGCTTTCCGTTCAGCAAAGAATCCTGAAGTTATTTTAAATTTTAATCATATTTCACATTATTACAGTTTTACTCTGTTTTTGATCAAATAAATGCGGCCTTGCTGAGGATAAGAGACTTTTTTTTTAATCATTCCAGCCCCAAACTTATGAACTGTAATATTAGAGCTGCATGATTGCAATCTCAACTCAGGCATGAAAACACACAGTTGTCATGTATAGATATGAAACAGCTTCACAAAACACTCTTTTCAAACACATCATAATTCTGAGATAATTCAAATGATCACAGAAGTACTGGGATAAAAGTTTATAGTTGGGATATAAACACTGATGTCTATCGTAGCGATCAAAATACAGTAAATCACCTTTAGAAAGTAACTTGACACTTCAAATAAAGATTGTATCAATTACATCGTTACACCAGTATGTGGCGACAAGTGAGTGTTAAAAGAGTATTTGTCATTGAATCACTCATTCAAGAGACTCGTTCAAAAATGCAGATTTATCCAGTAATAAAGTCTTTATGTGCGAGTCATTGAATCATTCGTTCACACCTATTTAAAAAAATATTTTTATTCACTTTTTATTTTATCATTGACTGCAGCAATAAACACTTTGTCAGAACCTCTAGTAATTTACGTGTTATTTTGCTTAGTTGTCCATTCAGAATCATGGGAGAAATGTGATCTCCGTTTTAAACAGGAAAACCGTAATTCTCTATTCATCCAGAATATTAACAGTGCTGGGTAGATTACTTTTAGATTAATTGAGAAAGAAAATATGTTCCATTCTTCGTTTTCAACAACATATTACATTATGTCAGAGTTTCCCAGACTGGGGGTTCATGAGTTTAATGAAAAGCTATTAAGTAATTAAATCATAAAAAAAATTAAAATAGAACACTTATTAAAAAAGATTTAAAAAAATATTTGTTTACCATATGAACGTATATAGCAGTAGGCTTATAGAGAGGAACATTTAAAAAATAAAAAAAGTAGTCGGGAGAGTCAATGAATTATGAATAAATTACTGCCATTGTGAGAATTAAATTTGATCAATTAAAAAGTAACTGTAGTCTGATTAGAAGTATTTTAAAATGTAACAATCTAATTTCAAGTACTTAATTCTTGGAATCTGATGATGTAATCCACATTCCATGTAATCGGTTACTACTGTCGATTTATTAAATATAGAATATGGGCCCTTTAAGATGGGATATAGTGTTGAGGTATGACCCGTGATCACCACAGGCCTCCAGTATCAGAGGACACTCACAGTGGGAGCGAAGCAGGAAAGCTCCTCCTCACTCTCGCTCTCCGTCTCTGCCCTCGGCTCATCACCCTCTTCCTGCTCCTTCCTCAGCTCTACACGCACACACACACACACACACACACTTTTTGCTGAGCAGAGTCTAAAAGGAAGTGAAACACTAACAACCTTCTGTGTAAATAGCCCATAACTGTGATATCAGCAGCAGAAGTGCACAATATATCGGCACTAACGTTTAGCAATTTTTTTACTCTACCTAAAATGCCTGATTTCACTTTAATCATGAGCATGCAGGCAAAATATTGTCTATTAAATATAAATCATTGGTATAAAATCTTGGTAAAGCGCTAGCAAACTAGCAGCTTAAAAAGAAAAGACATATATAGGATTATATTTACCACTATTTAAAATTCAATTCCTAACCCAACATGCAACTGTACATAATTTAGTCTTAAGAATTTTTATTTTGGGCTTTGAAGAAAGAAAGAAGGAAACGTTATCAGCCTAGGTCACCAATTAAAGGCAACGCTCTCACTTCTCTTGTCGTATTTGCGGCATTGTGTGTCTCCTTTCATGCTGTAGTCGAGTTTCATCAGTATGGGCTCCAGTCCGGTGTACATTTTCTGGATGAGCTCATGGTAGACCACCAGCGGCCACAGCAGCACACTCAGCACTAATGCAGCACAGAGAAACACACACACAGTTAACCTCTACACACACGAACGCTCACATGCCTGGGGGCATAATATTTCTTATGTTAAAAAACATTTTCAAATTATGATGTTTAAATATCTAGGCTAAATTATTGTACATTATAGTACCACTCTTTAGGTAAAAATGAAAATAGAAAATAATATGTTGTTATATACACTACCATTGAAATATTGAGATCAGTAAGAATTTTTTTAAAGAAAAATGTATATTTCTATTCAGCAAGGACACTTTCAATTGATCAAAAGTGACGGGAAAAACATTTATAATGTTGCAAAAGTTTTCTGTTTCAAATAAATGCTGTTCTTTTTCTTTCTATTCCCCAATATGAAGCAGCACAACTTGTTTTCAAGACTGCAAATAATCAGAAATGTTTCTTGAGCAGCAAATCAGCATATTAGAATGATTTCTGAAGGATCATGTGACACTGAAGACTGGAGTAATGATGCTGAAAATTCAGCTTTGATCACAGGAATAAATTACACTTATACAAAATATATTAATAAAGGAAACGGTTATTTTAAAATGCAATTATATTTCATATTACTGTTTGTATTTTTTTTTTTTTTACAGTAAATCTTACCAACCCCAACCTTTTGAACACTGTAGTAGTGTACCTAGAAATGTAACATGATGAAATATGTATAATGTTAAGTCTTCATTATTCACCAATGACCCCGAATTAGTTATATATGTAATGACTCTAAAGTAGCCTCAAAATATTTCTTATTTTTTTCTCCTTTTGATTTCATGGTAAAATACGACCAAGATATGTACTTGAGATTCACTTAAAAAAGTGAAAACACACTACTATCACACTTTTTGACACCTCCTGTTTGAGTTGTAGTAGTATGTAGATTTTGTAGTATAAAGAATACTGTATTTCCGTATTCTTATTCAATATATACAGTAGCAATGCAAAATATAACCTGAGTGTTATGTACAGTAAGTGCAGAGGTGGACTTGAATAGTTTGTGTGTTTAATTGGCAGCAGTGTGTGTAAAAGTAATACTGTATATGGAAATAAACAAACACAACAGAGGGAAGTTTGCTCACATATGATGTAGGAGATCATAATCCCGGGAATGTAATGTCCAACCATGGCCAGCATTAAACATCCCGAACACATCATGATGCAGAACTGATGACATGAAACAGAAAGATTGATCAGTAAACACTTTCTGGACATACAGTACCGTTTGAAAGTTTGGGGTCAGTAAGATTTTTGAAAAGTATCTTATGCTCACCAAGGCTGCATTTTTTTAATCAAAAATGACTGTAATATTGTGAAATATTATTACAAGTTAAAATAACTGTGATCTATTTTAATAAATTATAAAATGTAATTTATTCCTTTGATCAAAGCTGAATTTTCAGCATCATTACTCCAGTCTTCAGTGTCACATGATCCTTCAGAAATCATTCTAATATGCTGATTTCATTAAGCAATATTTCAAAATTGATATTTTTTATATCAATTTGATATTTTAAATGTCACTTTACTGTCACTTTTGATCAGTTTAATGCATCTGTTCTGAAACAAATATTACTTTCTTTACAATAAATAAATACTGACCCCAAACTTTTGAACGACAGTGTAGACTATTTTAATAAAAAAATAAAAAATAAAAAAACACTACTTCCTTTTGTGTTCAACAGAAAAAATATACAGGTTTGAAATGACATTAGGGTGAATAAAGCACATTTGAATTATTTTGAAGTTACAGAATCTCGCACCTTGCCGTGGTTTTGCCGTTTGTACTGAAGCATTTCTTGGATGTAAAGGCTGAAGGTGAGGAAACTCTCGGCGAGGTGATGGCTGAGTTCCTCCATGCTTAACAGACGCGGCTGCTCACTTAGTGTTTCTCTGTGACAACATGCGCAAATTAACTTGGCAAATTTATTGAAGAAACAATCTTAACATACAGCAAAGGCGATAATATGAAAGGGAGCAGTCCACACTTATGGGACGGGGGTGCTGTTGAGACATGCAGAGATTATTCAAGACACATACCGCTCAATGACAGGCTCCTCTGGATGCCACACTGCAGAGAATAGGACAAACATGAGCGAGGACAAAATAAAAGAGGCCACTGCAACAAACGGTGAATGCCTGAGCCTCCTGCAAATCTTATCGAATAAAAAATACATCATGTTTTTGCTGGCAATATAAAGTGAGGCAGCATTGTAAATTGTGCATTTGAATCAGTCATTAGGCTCCCTAAGACTAGTTTCGTGACACAACACAGAGATGTTTTACACAGTAATAGTGTCTGAAATAGTTCGAGGGTCGGTGCAGTTTCAGATGCTCTGAGTCAAAACACTGTATAATGTATCCATGGATTACCAGTGATCTGTGGAAGCTTGTCTTTCCATCTCTCCAGTAAAGTCAGTCCGATGAGAGACACGCTCAGGAGGAACAGGGGTCTCAAAGATGTGGACGTCAGGAGCCTAAAACACACACACATCTATGAAATAGTCACATTCAATTATAAAAACATGTGACTCACTCATATGTAACATCCAATATAAAAATGCACCAGTTCCTGCATAGTAAGTTTAATTGTTGTTTAATTATTACTACAGTAAAAGCAGATAAATATTTGTTTATCATAAATATGTATGTGCGTGTGTGTGTGTGTGTGTAGACCACCTGTCAAAAGTTTGGATACATTACTATTAATAATATTGTGAAATATTATTGAAATTTAAAATAATGGTGTCCTGTGATGCAAAGCTGAATTTTCAGCATCATTACTCCAGTCTTCAGTGTCACATGATCCTTCAGAAATCATTCTAATATGATGATTTGATACTCAGTTATTATCAAGGTTGGAAACAGTCGTGCTGCTTAATATTTTTTTGGAACCTGTGGTACTTTTTTTCCAGGATTCATTGATGAAAATATTAGTTAAAAAGAAGAGCATTTATTCAAAATAGAAATCTTTTCTAACAATATAAATCACTTTTTATCTATTTAACACGTCAACAAAAAGAAAGAAAAACATTACTCAGCCCAAACTTTTGAACGGTAGTGCATATTGTTACAAAAGATTTATATTTTAAATAAATGCTGTTTTTTTAATACTTTTTATTCATCAAAGAATCCTGAAAAAAGTATTGATAATATCAATTGATAATGTTTTTAAACTTTTGACCGGTACTGTGTGTGTGTGTGTGTGTGTGTATGTATATATATAAAGACAGTATAATCACAATTAATATAATATAATAGATGGTAATACCACAATAAATACCCAAAACAAACATGTTATCACCCTGGTAATTGTCTAATAACAAACCATAATCATACACCATGTTATTTACCCCTTACAAACAAGTATCATGGTATGACGGTGACCATGTTTTTTAGACATGACACAATCACAGTTCTATGAACATATATCATTGTTTTCTTAAATCTTTCAGAGCAGTGTGAATACCATAAATATGGCAAACATTCATCATAGCATCAAAGTACCATGATATTAGTATCACACACACACCACGACTGTACTATCATGGTACTGGCATGTTACTTTTTGTAATACAGTAGAATGCCACAGTAATCATGTGGTAATATTTAGGTACAGGATGACTACCATATTCATGTACCGTGTGATAATTATAATAAATGTCCAAAAACTCATAGTAATACCGTGGTACTTGAATGTATCTGATTAATTACCATGATATTTACATGGTTCTCCAAAAATACCATGGTATTCCGTAATGGCACTAGGCACTAGCACATGTCCATAGAACGGTAAAAGTAATACCACGGTAAAAGTAGCGAAGCTGCAACACAAGCAACACGGAGCAACTTCGACCTGAAGCATCTGCTAACGAGCAGATTAACCAGATTACTCGCTACTCGTCAGGATTAACACCGTCCCTTCCAAACGAACAGCTTTATTCGCGTGTCTCTCTCACCAGAACAGCGTGTTGAGCGTGAGCGCGGCGATGATGCTGTGCAGCGGCCTCTCCCACACCAGCAGCCGCTGAGCACAGCTCACCGCGGGCTCACACTGCGACAGCCAGCCGCGCAGACGCTCCCTCAGAAGCCGCAGCTCCGGATCATCCTCGGCGCTAACGCCGCCACCGGGCGCGGGGAACCAGGCCTCCAGACCCGCCGCCGAGGAGGTGGAGCACACCGAGGCCCGTCTGCTCGCCATTGTCTCTTGTCCAGTGTTGTTTGTGTGTGTGTGTTGTTGATGATGATGACGGGGTTTGGTCAGGAGAGGCTCGTCATGGATTATTAGAAAAAACAGAAACACACAGTGGATCTTACAGGCTCTTACAGTGTCACATGCTCAGTGTTTACTGCGCTCGTGAGGGACATCTGCTGGATGCAGCACAAACTTCAACTTGACATTATATTGTTTATTTACCAATTAGTATTTGTTTTTATTTATATATTTATAGTACGTATTCATTAATAATTTGATTTCTATTTTTAGAAAAATAATTGTATTTATACAGAACTATAACTATTTATTTTATTTAAAATAGAACTATTTCAATGTAATTATATATATATATATATATATTATTGAATAACGTTAAATAATTTATTTTGTGTATATATATTTTTAAATAATACAATTAAAATATGTTATAATTATTATTAAATACAATTTAATTAAATATGTATATTATAATACATATTTTAATAACATTATTAACACTTAAAATAAAATGTTATCAATTAAACAAAATATGTTTTAATTTATTTTATTTTTAGTTTGTTTCATTTCGTAATAAGTGTATTTTATTAATTTAGAAATAAAATAAGCAGCTAAAATGCAACAGATGATTAGGATTAGCAACAGAAATTATTTTATTTTGTGGGATACAGTATTCACTTTGTGTCCTTGTTTCATAGGAAAAAGATAATAATGGGTATATATATATATATATATATATATATATATATATATATATATATATATAACATGATATGGTATAATAGGATAGAATACAGATGTTAATACCACGATAAATCCCCCAAAAAACAAACATAGTATGACCCTGGTAATTGTCTAATAACAACCATAATCATACACCATGGTATTTAACCCTTACAAAAAAAGTACCATGGTACCGACAGTTTTTTGAACATATATCATTGTATTCTTAAATCTTTCAGTACAGTCTAAATACCATCTGTATATGAATATGGCAAACATTTATGGCATACAGTATATCAAAGTACCATGTTATTACAGGCTCATACCATGACTGTACTGTACTGCCTATTACATTTTTAATATGTATGTTTTTTAATACTGTATGCCACAGTAATTATGTGCTAATATTATGGTACAGGAATGACTAGCATATTCATGTACCATGATATTTATGATAAATGTGCAAAACCCATAGTAAATTAGTAATACCATGGGATTAATTACCATAATATTTACATGGTTCTTGAAGAATACGATGGTATTGTAACAGATGTTTTTTCTGGGTTTTAGATCTGGGAATCAGACAAAATAAAGAAGAGCACAAGGAATTGTTTATTTAAAAAAAAAAACATGATAATCTGACTATACATTTCATAACAGCACAAAAAGGCAAACTAGATGATCAATTTGATCAAAATCCCAGGCCTTGTGTGCTCACGATCATACATAAAAACTTAAAGCAACAATTCTCTTTGTCAGTACTCATCATAAACCATCTCTCAGTTAAATGAGAAATATGTTGTTTAATATATTATACACTCTACATAATCCATGAAATTTTACAATGTAAATGTATCATGTAAAAAAGAGATTATTTCTTCATTCTTGCTTGCTCATATTTTATCCTCTTTGAATATCTGAAACAGGATAAGAGAATACACTTACAAAGAGTAGAATAATATTACCATGCTTTTTGAGTTTTATAATACCATGGTTTTCCTTCAAATAACCTGTAGAACAACCACAATATCAGCACAGGGAAGTAAGTGGCTGTTTGTTGACATTATACTGTTTCCAAACGCTCTGGTGTTAAATGACCATGACAAAGGGACCCGGGGTCACGACCCTGACCTACCAGGGTATTCTCTTCTCAAACATTCACATACTCGTATAGCCAACAAAGAGGTCACGCACATGCATAACGCATGCAGGGAGTACACTATTCATCAGCAATTTTCTATAATTAGTATTGCATATGGGCGTTTACAGTTATTTTCATTGCTCGCTGGTTGTGAATACCCAAAAGTGGAAGAAAATGCATCAGCATTGTGGAGAGCCAAATGTTTTAGGAGTGTCTGCGATTCATGTGTGCTGGAGCTTTACATAACAGAAGACATAACATGATATCATCAGACGATATAATATACAATAATGATTATAAAGAGTATATTAATAAAGAAACATAATACTGTGGTGTAAGTTGCCAGTAGTAGTAAAACGTTCGAACACACCAGTAAATGTGTTTTGTAGACAAATATAAATTAGGCATATGTCTACATTTCTATATTATAGAAATTCCATATAACAACAAAAATATAAATAAATAAAAAATAATAATTAGTATTATTGTTATTGTCATTATATATTTATTCAGAAAAATATAATTGTTTGTTATTTCAAATAGTATTTTATTATTATTCAAATACTAATTATAACTATTATTAGAAAAAATAAACATTATTATTTGTTATTGTTATTATTATTATTATTATATATTTATTTAGAAAAATAACGATTATAAATTATTTAGAAAATTAATTATTTTAGTATTATTTATATTGGTGAACCACATCAATAGTGTTTCAAACAACCCATGATGCACCTCAGATAAAAAAAAATTGTAATTCATTTAACATTTTTTGATCAATACATAATTCGATGTATGTTATTTTATAGTTTTGATGACTTTACTTTAGTCCTAATAAAGAATGAGTAGGTGTGTGCAAACCTTTGACTAGTACTGTATGCAGTAGCAATGCATGTGTTGGCAAAGCTAGGCTAGGAAGGCAGAGTAAAGCCTACCTGGATACTAGTGCTGGTTAGATGAGGGAACAGAAGAAAACATATCCTCTCAGGTTAGGAAAACAGAGCATCAATACCTGCTGGAGATAAGACTATAGCCTGCAGCAGGTCTGAGAGAGAGATTATTCCCCGAACCACGTCATCTCTGTCCACAAGCACCAGCCTATGGACCTGGACAGAGCCAAGATAAAACATCTCAGAGAAGACACACACACACACACACACACACACACACAAACTAAAATTAAGACACAAAATGTAACAAAATAAAAGTTCAAAATTGACAACTCTTATTTAGTCTTAACTCTTATCTTATTTATTTTTTTATTCATATGCTCTCATCTTTAATCAAAGTATCATCCTCTCCCTCTCTAGCAGTGACATCTCTTCTCTTCTCTGATGATGTCGTGTTTACTGGCGACATGAGGGCGGGACAACCTGTCACTCACATGAGATCGACCAATAGAAAACCACAGCCATCCAATCAATTCCCCATGGACAAAATCAAATCCCGCCCTTGCACCCTTTTAACTTTTAATTGTTCGAGAAGCGATTTCACTCGGATATACATCACAATAGGGAAGAAAAGACTATTGCAACTTCTGTTCCAATTAAATGACACTTGCAGATGGAAATTAGCATAAAACATATAAAACACACATAAATAAAACATATTTTCGTAAGATGAATGTATTTTGTACATTGTCCCTGACAAATAAACTAATTAAATAAATTAATTATAAAACAATATAAAAAACCATGACAAATCAAATTCGGAACAAAACAATAAAATAGAACAACATTTGCAATTTAAAAAGATAAGACAAAGAAAATTTGTTACATTAAAAATATATGGAGATATGTTTTATTTCTAATTTCAATGTATATACTGTATGTATAAAGACAATTCACATTAATTGACATTTCTATAAATGTGCCAGTATTAGCCAACTGGCTGATTTCCAACTGTAGTCATTTAGCCAAAGTAAACATCTCAGAAATAATGAGAAGACACATCCTTACCTCTGCCTTGACTATTCTGTCAATAACAGTCTCCAAAGTCTCGTCAGGGTAACATTTAATGACTCCTTCCACATAACAGCGCCTCCTCCGCACTGCCTCCTGCATGCTCATGCTCAGGTTATTGTAGGTTTTCTGCGCTGCAAGATTCTGTCAGAAGAAACAGAGACACACGTCTCACACACAAGTTCTCTCAATAACCCAGTGCTGCTTTTAATATCTGAAATTTAAAAAAGGAGAAGAGATTCTCACAATCACATCAAATCTGGAATACAGGGCAACCACTTTCCCTACAAAACAAAACAGAACATTTATTTTGTCCTGTAACACATTCATTTCGGAGTTATTTATTGAGTTAAGTGTACCGTTGTCATCCACCACCGGGAGGGCGGACACACGTCGCTCAACAAACACAGAAAGGGCATCGTACACAGTGGCCGTCTGTGAGACCGTGGCCACTTCTGTGAAAGTTCCTATTCCTGCATCTTTAATTTGCATGTTCAAGAAGCGTGGCTTGGGCACTGCGGCTTCCTAGAGATGAAAAGAAAATCATATTTATACAACAACCTGCTGATCTGTAATATGATGTCTTCAAATGGAGCCAAGAACTGGATTGTTTTTGTCTTACAAATAAATGAAGGAACTTGAGGATTCTCTTATGGGTCAGTATGTGAAGGACATTTCCAGACTCTGGGTCGATGACCGGCAGCCTGTGGATCTTGTGTTTCAGTAAAGAGTAGACGGCATCAAAGAGGCTGTGTACGGACAGAAAAATTTAGAAATATGATATATATTATAAATAGATACACTACTGTTCAAAGGTTTGGGGTCAGTGAGATTTTTTTTATCGAAATAACACTTATTCAGAATCAGCAGTCATGCATCAAACTGATCGGAAGTGAGTAAAATGCTGTTCTTTTGAACTTTCTATTCATCAAAGAAATACATATTTAAAAAAATTAAGCAGCACCACTGTTTTTAACATTGATATTAACAAGAAATGTTTCTTGAGCGGCAAATCAGCACATTAGAATGATTTCTGAAGGGTCATGTGACGAAGACTGGAGTAATGATGCTGAAAATTCAGCTTTGCCATTACAAAAATTTTATTAAACACTTATTTTTAATTGTATATATATTTAAAAAATGCATTAAAACACTTAAAAACATTAAAAAATCGTACAGACCCCAACATTTTGAATGGTAGTGTAAACATGAATATCTATTTTGCATCTTATACATAATAACAATTACAATTATGTATAACAAACGTACATGGCACCAGGAACCCTGGCACACTTACATAACTCAAACTGTGTTTTAAATACCTCGCATCAGGCGTGATACTGATGAGATATTGATCGTGATATTGCAGATAGACGTCTACAGAAAGAGAGAGCACACGACAAGAGAAAGAGAAAAACATTGGAAAAAATCAAATGCAAGTCGTTCATCTCAGGTGACACTGCAGTAAATTTGCCCTATAATCACACAATGACAGCTGCGTGAGATATATCGAGCCCTGTGGAGATACAGCCAGCCTGATAATGTTTCAATACTAAATATGTCATCCTAACATCTGAAGTGATGGAAAAAAATAGAATCATTTTGATTTCCACTAAAGGAAAAAGTGGGCAACTAATGCAAGTGTGCCTGTCAAAAGCATAATTTCCTTTCTTTTTTGATTCAGCACATTTTACATATTAAATGCTTTAGTAAGTCAAACTCATCGTCTTTAAGACAGAATTCATTAGATAAAACTGGTAATGTCCGTCCTTATAGCTGTGCTAGACAACATCCCAACATCATCTGTGTAGTTCAGATTATTTACTTTGAAATGAATCACCTCTCCATGTCTCAATCTTGTGCTCCTCCAGTTCATAGATCTGAACCTACAAGTGAAAGAAAGCACCTGTAAAATATATAATATTATACAATGTAACATAAATGTATAATATGTAAATATCAAAGGTTACTGTATATATAAAAAAATCAAAGGTTTGGGGTCATGATTTTTTAATGTTTTTGAAAGAAGTCTCTTATGCACACAAAAATAGAGTAATAAAACAGTAATATCGTGAAATATTTTTTACAATTTAAATTGTTTTTTGATTTGAATATTTTCAAAATGTAATTTTGCAAAGCTGAATTTTCAGCATCATTACTCCAATCTTCAGTGTCACATGATCCTTCAGAAATCATTCTAATATGATGCATGCAACATTTCTTATTATCAATGTTGAAAACACTTGTGCTGCTTCATATTTTTGTGGAAACCGCGATACATTTTTTAGGTTTCTTTGATGAAACAAAGGTAAGTTGAAAGAATTTAAAGGAAATCGTTTGAAAATGGAAATCGTTTGTAACCTTATAAATGTCTTCACTTTTGATCGTTTTAATGCTTTTTATTTTAATGCTGAATGCTTTCAAAAGAACTGACCCCAAACTTTTAAACAGTAGTGTATATTTAAACATATATATTTTTTAAATTACTTCTCTTTATAACTATTAAATAAGTGAGAGGTATTGAGAAGACAACCCATATCTGGAAATCTAGTCAAAGCTGATGAGAAGCTTTAACTGGGTTGTAACTAGGTACTAACCCTGAATATATCCATATACCAGACCATAACCCATGTAGTTACTTTAATATTACCAGTACTTTCTAGGGATGCTCCGATCGATCGGCCAGAGATCGGTATCGGCCGATATTCACATTTTATGACTCGATCGGTACTCACTAAACTTGGCCGATCTCACAAACCGATCACAATTTGATTAGGCCGACATCAAAACGTGAGAAGGTACATGATGCGTGGGGACTTAAATGATTTGGCAGTCATGTCATCGCCGGTGTGGAATTGCTATGATGTGTCAAAAAAACAGCTATTTGCCATGTATGTTTCAAAGGAATCTCATGTGGAGGAGCATTGTCCTCCAGAGAGATCAGCTTTCTGAAGAGTAGCTTCGCTCGCTCAGACCACACAGCGCCGCTCGCTCAGAACGCCCGCAGTGACGCGCTGGTTAGGAAATATGTGAAATAAATTGGGCTGCCCGTGCACGACTAAAGTTTTTTTTCTAGTTGACTAGTAGTAGTTCATTTAAGCCATTAGTCTAATTGCATATTTATATTAATTTAATTAAATATATACGGGAGAAAATACTAAACCATAATGAGCGTTATCGTAATATTGCCTATATTCCGCATGTCAAGCGCATGCATAAAGCTTGCCACAAAGAACCGGCAAAAGTAATGTTTAAGCAGCATGGTACATTTGAATTGTTTATTAATAAACTAGTGTTTTCTGGCTGCAAAGATACAGTTGGCGATGTTGACGCCATCTTCGCATGTAGTGAACGCGCCTATAGAGAGAAATGCACACGTCATACGGATAGACTACATAAGCAGAGAGTAGGCTAACCCATTTCTTATCGATTTGAATGTTTTTTTAAAAGCATTTCAAGCTTTCTATACGTTCTCAGGTCTGTGAGGCAAGTCATTTATACGCTGAGTTTCGGTTCATTTATGAGACGCGCTCCAGTTCACGCGCGGGCGCCTCCGTATCCTATATTGTCTGCTATATTTCGCTTCTTATTTATTAAATCCAGCCAATTGGTTGATGTAACATTGATTGAAATTAAGATACAATTTTTACAAAACGAAATTCACTTTAAAAAATGGCTTTCTACAAAACAAAACTTACTTAAGTGGTCAAAATCATGTCTGACCCACTCCAAATGTCTCCTGATATATTGGGCATCTTATGATCCTATCTTACCCATCTCATGCGGTTCCTTTTTTATATAATCAACATAGATGAAATTAAAAAAAAGAACATTATATTATATAAAACAAATATGAAATGTATATTTACGTTTTTAAGTTATATTTAGCCTAAACGTCAGACCACTCCGCTTTTCTCACTTTTGTGGCCTATGCATGTGTGCGTGCATTTGGGGGAGGGGTGCCATTTTCGAATAATATCCAGCTACAGTATCTTCGAATATTATTTTTGCTCGAAATGCCCATCCCTTCTAATGAGTAGCATCAAACTACTCCAATTTGTTCTTTTAGGAGTTTAAATTATTTATTTATTTAATTTTTGTCCTGCTCAGACTTGTATTGGACAAGGTTTAAGTTATGACTTCTCTATTTTAGGTGATTAAATGTTTATGTTGTCCTCCAAAGTTTACTATTGGACATTGTTTAATTTAAGCCTGTGGGCTGCATCAGACTGCTCCATTTTGTTCGTATTTATCATTGTCTTATATTAAGTATATTAAGCATCGGTATCGGGATCGGTATCGGCCGATCACCATGACAAGAAATCGGCTATCGGTATCGGCTGCAAAAATCCTGATCGGAGCATCCCTACTACTTTCTTTGGTAACTACAACTGTTACCACATCAGAGGTGACTGATTTACAAATCAAAAGCTCAAGATATCAAGTTGAGGAAATCATTAGTATGAAAAAAGACTGGGGCCGAATACTATTTCAAGGCATGTCATCAACTAACAAAAAACAATATCTGTATCATGCAGCATTATGTGGACAGTCAATGTAGAAATCAATATGATTCAAACCATGAAGGACAACACAAGAGAAGAGGCAGGGATCGCAACCCACCATAGGTGACCTGTAATACCGATGAAGAATATTGATAAAATCTGTGATTGTCAGCATACCTGAGAAAATGGCAAGGAAATGAAGTAAACACTACGAAAGAGAACAATTCATGAAGATAAAAATAATACGCACAGGCTCAGCGGGGTCAGTCTTACCCACAAATCTCTGCAGTTTGTTGTCCCAGAGAGGGGCCGCTCTCAGGCCATTCGCAACCAAAGCAAAGAAGGCCTTCTTCACCTGTGTCGATACAATAGATGTGTGTTCACCTCCTCGAAACAAATATTTTGTCTAAGTTAATTATTGATGTCAACGAGAATCACATTTTAAATCATGTTAAACGATAACACCCAGGAAATGTACTGCATCCCAACCGGCAGTGTGGTGTCAAAAACGACCAGTTTGCAGCTGGTGGGAATCGCATCATAACAACAGTGTTTCTTCATGAAGGTCATATAAGCTTCTGCATTCGGATCGGGGTCTGGAAGGACATGAAAACACCAAATCACTTCTCCATTTTGAAAATGCCTAAGAACCTAAAGTGCTGGATGCAAATTCTCATGATTTATGAAATGTGCGTTGCCCTACCTGTGCTGTTCATTATATAGTCCTCATGGCAAACGTCCTGCCAAAAAACCAACATGTTGACATTATCATTATGTTGACTAAAATTATGCGCTCAGAAATTAAATGAAAGAATTGTAATTAGGTGCACTAATAATATACATATATACATAACTGTTTTATGTGCATCGTTTTATCAAAACAGTAGCTTTCATTACATGTAAAAAAAATGGTATTGCTATGCTACATCCCTTACAAAAAGTAATTGGTGTATCAGATCAGATGGTAGAATTATGGTACTTTAATAGAGTATATAGTAGGCTACCATAGATTACAATTTGTGCATCATTGGACTTCCAAACCACTATGGTTTACACACACGCACAAAAAGTAATACACAGTAGCACCATGGTGTTTTTGTAAATAACGTAAAAAATAGGGTATATTACCATGTTGCCACTTGTAAAAACATGATGCTTACGTTGAGCTCAGCTGTCTTGCATTTTTTATTCTCTCAAGCCTTTATTTTACCGCATGCATTAGACGCTGATTTACACCCTGAAGAGAAGGTTTATTACCTGCTGTCGCTTACCTGCGTGTCAGTGTCCATTTGTGCGTGTGCACTACAGTCGAGCTCCAGCGTGCACATCTCCACGTCCTGCGCAGTGCGCATGCCCACTGATCCCGCTTCACCAGAGCTATATTAGGATCAACTGAACTGAGGTCGGTTATTTAAGACGCGACGCTGCCTCTAAACGCAGAAGGGCCGATGGACAGAGACAAAGGCAAAGCGACGACGCTCTGGTGAAAAGAAGAATATCTATTTTAGGATATTGCTGTAGGAGTCCTGTTAAATGTGGCGTAAATATGTCTGGTTTGACACTGACAGACAACACGAAACGAGAGCTGGCATGTATGTAGGACTAGGAGAGCGCGCGCACGTTATTCCAAATATAGCGCGTGGCCTGTGTGATATGCGCGCGACCACCCATTCCTTCATGAAGGGTCCAAAATTAAATGCCACACCTGCCAAAAGCCAACTTAGAAATGTCTTTGATATTGCTGAAAATATTTAGTCATTTAACTGGGTTTTAATATAATTTACGTAAAATATAAAATACCTTTTGATCCTGTGACAAGCGCGGGTCAGTGTTTTAAGTAGGGATGCACGATATCACCACCATATCGGTGTCGGCCGATATGTTCATTTTTAATGTTATCATCAGCCCGGTAAGAAAATTTGTCCGATATATAATTAAAGCTAAATTTATTCTCAAAAATTATATAAAAATGTGGATTTAGATTTATCAGCCATTATTCTGTTGTGGGGACTGAATTTGATATGGTTAAAACTTTTTCACTTGCATACCACAAAAATAAATAACAATAATAAAAAGACATACAAACCAGTATTGAGATTAACATGTTTTTATTACTTCCATCGTTGCAGCTATATGTTCTTTTATAATTTCTATACAAAATGTACAAAATGGGACAGAAAATATAAGTCATGAAAATAGTCAAATATTTGTCATGAACAAATTATGGTGGATATGTAAGAGATCACTAAATCAGGTGTTAATTGGTGCATTTTTATGCCCAAGCCCTAATAATATATAATTTACTTTATTATATTTAAAGAACATAAAAATAAAGCCAAATTAAACTTAAAGTCAAGCAATGAACCCAAATAAATCTATTGAATTAGCCCGTTCAGCAATTCCAATATGTTTTTACTTCAGGATATCAAAATATTGAGGATTTTTACAAAACGGTTGCATTCTATGATGAATGCTTTGTGGATGATGTGTATGGCATCAACTATCTGAACATTAGAAATCTTAGATCTATCTTAAACTAAATTGTATAACTGACATTGTAAAACTGATCCCTTTTTCCTTTTCTTTTACCCGTCCTCTCTGAAACCAAGTGAACAAAACCAGGCTTAAATTCAAACAATTTCCCAACTTGAAAATAAAGGCTTTCACAGGAAGAAACTTCTTAACAATACAGCCCTCCTCAGCCAAACAAACTATTCAAAACATGAGCACGCACTTCCAGCATAAAAGCAGACCCTTTTGTTAACTTATGTAACTACTTACCATTATTTTTGTTTGGGTGCTTGCTTTGGAGGTTTCATGTAACAGCAAAAAAAAAAAGAAAAGACCCGTCCGCCGGAAAAGAAAAGAAAGCCTGTTCATTCATACTGCATTAGCGTGCACTGCATCACACACGTCAAAATTCACTGTCGTTCAGCATATGCCACTTCTGTAATAAACCTCCCCACTACCCTCTCTCCAACATACTATCCCACCACAACCTGGTTATAACCAACCCATATCACTGGTTCATTTACAACAAGGAAAACCAAGGGAGTTGACTGCGTAATATGTAAACTTAGCTGGTTTTATTTTTGCCATAGGACTCATCTAACCGGGCATTAGAAGAGATGGCAATTTCCCAAATGGCAAAGTACTCTCTGGGCAACATGGGTGTCTTTGAAATGGTGGCATTGAGCTAACATGGGGGTCTGGAAACATCAGGCCTATGCTAAACTGACCTAACCCAAGCCAATGTGCAGTGAGACGGGCATACCACGGCGTGGAATGAGTCGTCGAGCCATTGCGAGCCATTGCAAATTGGGGGAAACCGCCCGTGTGACCGTGACAGATCACTTCAGATACCAAACAGTCTTGTGGCTGGATGTCCAACGAGGGGGTAGAGTAGGAAAAAGTAGAGAGGATGGAGCCCCAGAGGCAGAGCACCATGTTCTGATAGGATGAAGAGGTAGGAACCTGCTGCTCTGGCACGACGGTGGGCCGCGGCTTCAAGCTGTCGTTGGTCAGGACACAGCAATGGAGGTTTGAGGTTGGCCGAGGCATGTCCAGCAAGAGCTCAGGAGGGACTGCTGGTGTCTGAATGGATGTGTGCTTAAGCGGGTCCAAGTAAGTGTGGCTGGTATTGGGAAGACGGCTGAGCTGGTGGATGACAGCGGAAGAAGCGATGAGACCGGCTACGCTAGTCAAGTACAGGAGACCCAACATACAGGTAATCTGAAGGAAGACAAAGATCACAATAACGGAACAAAATTAAAGCATAATCGTGATATAGGATGTGAACAAATATATGCGCTGCAGGTTTTAGAGTGAAGTGTGGCACTGTGTTCATTTACATGCAAGCAGTGTTTCAAGTGGCTCGGTATGCAGTAAATGTTGCTCCACCACGTGAACTCTACAAGTGCTGAGAGTTTGGGTTGCTTATAACGTGCATTTGAAAATGAAACACACCATCTTTTCAAACTGATAATAATGAGAAGCACTTTAAAAGCTCCCAACGGATTACCACCTAAATTAAAGCTCAATGGTTTAACATTTGAAATCGAAGAAATTACAGCCATTAATATTAGTATTGTAATTTTATTTTTAGTATAATATATTTTTTTCTTAAATACTCATTTTATTTTACAGTGAAATATTACAGTAGTAATATTTATTTTGTTTAATAAATTAGTTGTAAAAATTGTGATATTATATATATATATTATTATTTTATAGTCACATCGATATATAAATCAAAATTTGTATTTTAATTTAATAAAGCAACAAAACATGCACAGTAAACACTTTAAAAAGCGTTTATTTTATGCGAAAATTCATAATTGGATTTTTTCTCCTCAAATTGCGCAACCTCTAATTAAAGACGATTACAAATATTGTTTCTTAAGCCATAAAATTGCTTTAGGGCCGTTACATAGTCAACGCGAGCAACGCGAGCAAGCAACGCGAGCGACGCGAGCTACGCGCTCCTTTTCATAGTACACAAGCGTCACCGGCGATGCGTGAAATGCAATACACCGATCGCGCAGCAGGGGGTAGTAGAGTCTAGAGTCGGGTCACGTAATATTCAGATCAAAATGGCAACTGAAGAGGAGTGCATATTGCTGATTTTACATCGGCGACAACAAAGGATGTATACGAACAAGCTCGCATAACTTTTCCCCTTCGCCCGCCATTGTATCCAAATCTTCTTCTTCTGTAAACATAATAATATACCTTTTTATGTACATTACTTGCAATGTCGCCCCCACCGACAACGCATAGTATTGCGTGCATCGGCGCGTCGCGTATCAAAAACTAGGATGACACATTTGGCTACGCATCGACGCATAATGGCGGCCGAAGCGTAGCGATGTGTAGCCTTGCGCACGCGTATGCGTACCGATGCGTTGACTATGTAAGGGCCCTTAGTGTGAGGAACAGACCAAAATGTAAGCTGGTATTTGCTCAAAATCTCCTCTCATGACCCAATGTGAAATATCACTGATGTCAAAACAGGTGTCTTGATGTGCCAAATTTGAATCAAATGAGATTTGAGGGCAAATATGGGGAAGATTTTCAGCAAATAGCATAAGGCTTTAGATGACTTGGAATACAGTGCACATGTGCTACTTTTTTAGTGTATTAATGAGCCCATACGGGTTTAGCTATGATTGTTCACCTTGGTAAAGTGCTGGTAGATTGCTGATAGGGCTTCCCTCCAATTGGTTTGCTCCAATAGGACGCAGAGATCCGTGTAGGTGAACCAGCCTCGCTTCATACCTTGCCGCTCCGCAATGCTGCAGGGACAAAGCACATTAAAATACATGATCTTTTTACATTGGAACTCATAATAACATTGTAACAACAAAATTAGCACATGACTCAGACCTTAAATGTACTGCTACTTCAAAGCACTCTGACAAACAGATTAGACTAAAAAGGGCAGCTGCATTAAGCCCAAGGGAGCCACTGCCCAGTTTCAAAAGCCTTAAAAGCTATAAAACAGGTCATGCCATCAAAAATGTTCTGTGATCTTTTGAAAAGAACAAAAATGCTGTGACCCCTTAAAGGCCAGTAGGGGTGTTCACTCAAAGCGTATAAGGATCATATTAGATGTATGACACAGTAAGTGCGTGTTAACCAACCTGGTTTCCACCTTACTGAGGACTTTAAAGAAGTCACTGGGCTCGGTGAAGAGGTTCCAGTCCTGTAAATGTGAAAGATCTTGTTTCAAATCAATTTCAATAGAAAAATCACAACCAGCAATGAAACTTAGTCTAGTATTAGCCTTAAAAATTCATACTCAAAATAAAAGGACAAAACAAGCCCAACTACTTTAAATGGCTGTAGTTCTTTGGAAGGTCACGCTTACGATCGCATTGAGGAAGTTCATCTCTAGAGTGTTGACAGTATGAACATCCAGTTTGGCCGCAGTACCCCATTCATCGTTGAAAACCTCCTCATCTTCTCCTTCATCATACAAATATTTACTGGCAACCATCTGGAGACAACAGAGGAAATTCAGAGAAATATGATTATCACCAACAGCATCATTGAAATTGACCGGAATAGCGAACCAGAAAAAATAAAGCTAATAAAAATGCTTGGATGTGAATACCATGGATATCAAAAAGAGGTCTGAGGATGAGATCTGTTGCAGGTATTCAGGGTTTCTGTGTCGCAGTCTTTCAATGTATATCAAGGCCAACATCATAGCGCAAGGAGATATACAAGCTTCCCTGTAACACAAAAAAAGGGTTTGATATTGATCCAGTAAATATAAACAACAGTATGTAGTGTAATGAGATTACATTTTGAAGTCTAAGATATAATAAGGCAATCTTACCTGGCCACATGTGCAGCATATTTCTTGTGAAGTTTCCTTATGGGACTTGGGGCAGATTTCTGGAGCAGTTCCACAGCAATATCTAGAGGAAATACAACTATGAGTGAAGTGTATACTCGATCTAGCAGTAACCATCATATGTATAGAATATGTATGTTAAAAACTATCAACCGAAACATGGCCAAATCTAGGAATGCAATGTATGATATACAAACTTTGCTTGACCCCAATCAATTTCATGCAAAGGCAAAGTACAAATATGAGTAAAATGTTCCCCTGTATGTAATTTTAGACTTCAAATAACATTCTTAGAATTGTAAATAGGAGAATAAATAAGTCATAATAAAAATATACTTACTTATTCAAATAATAATTATCTTATAGTTCTTTAAATCACTTAAATATTTAAACAACATCATGCACATAATTGTAAATTGTAAAATGTAAAAATTTTAATTATTAGATTAAAATATTCCGTAACTTCAAAATGTTTCAAGAAATATTACATGCAAGTTAAACACAGGAGACAAAACAAGCAGTTAGGTGAAGATGATAGCTTAAATGATATTGCATTAGTTGTGCAAAAATGCAACAACAGAGCAAACTACTACAGTAGTCAACATTTGAAGTGGATCAAAACCTTTCATCAAAATTATACACGTATTGTTCAAAATTCGTGTATAATTTTGATGAAAGGTTTTGATCCACTTCAAATGTTGACTACTGTAGTAGTTTGCTCTGTTGTTGCATTTTTGCACAACTAATGCAATAGGACTTAGGACAACTTTGATGAACTTTTTTGATCTAACGTTACTTCAAATGTTGACTACTGTAGTTTGCACTAACTAGTTAACTCACCTGTCATGGGACAAGATAAAGCATCCAACGGGCTGTCAGAATCAAGACCATAATACAGTCGTTTCCTTACTCTCTCTGACCAATGCTCGTGTCTAGGCAGGAACTGAGCAGGATGACAGAATACAAAACATGTTTAAATGTCAGATACCTGTCTTCATAGTAATCTTAAAAGAGGCATATTATGACTAAATAACATCATTAAAGCAATAAGATAAGTACTGATATTCGTGCTTCTTCACACCTAAACATTGGGCCTATGATGAAGCCTCGAACTAAGTTAGCATAATACTTACAGCAAAAAGTTACACTTACATACTGCAAAAAGGAGACATTTGCTGTATTTACGAGTAACGTTAATCATTTTCTGTCAGTCTAAATTCTGGGCTTTAAATGAAGGAAGACATTATCAAAAACACAAGTTCTTGTATCAGTCAGTTTCGCGTGAGTTTCTCGGGCACCCGCCAAAGCTGCAGCGCAACCGGAACAAAAACATCCAAGATACTGACCGTAAACTCTTGAAAGTCAGAAAAGGTAAACGTCCGCTCATCAAATAAATCGCCAAAATCCATTTTGGCCCTCCAACGTTCATTTAAAAGGACTGAAAACACAGAAAGGCCGAAGAAAGGCGTCGTGAAGGCGCCCTCTCTCTACCGTGACAGATAAGTTACGTTGCAACGGATTCAGAATCACAGTTACGCAAGTCAATGTGCTCGGCTGTGTAGAAATAGCATAAAAGAGCGTAAACTGCAGTTAGTGTGAGTTCTGACTGGGGCGGGACTTTTATTGGACGGAAGTTGGGTCAAACATATTTATGGTTTCTAATCTGTCAGGTACAGAGAATATTTTTGTGTGAAATTGTATTCAAAGGCAAACGTTCCTCATATCAGTGTTATAATCTATCACGATCACGACGAAACACCGCTGTTGCTAATGGACCAATCGCAGCCGTTTATGATTACTCGTTAAAGCGTTTTTTAAATAATTGTATTTCAGATTGCGAAAGCAAAATTCATTTATATGTCAATTTACATTCGGAGTAATATATTTAAAACATGTTTTATTCAATTTGTAAATAGATTTGAGTTGAGTATTTCGTCTTTTTGACCGTAAAGCGCCCACTAGAGGAAAGAGGCATATGTGTGTGTGTTACTTTTTCAAGATTTTTTCTAGATCGGTATGACAGTTTACCTGTTTATCTATTATGAATAAGTTCTTCATGCGATGCTTCGCATCCAATGTTCGCGTCACTCAGTCAAGCGTCCAATCACATAAAGTATTTAATATTCATGAGCCATATAGTTTTCAGCAAATCATATATATACCCCGGTGATTGGTGATATTTATGGTAACATGATGCAGAACTGTTGTGGTTACATTTCTGTAGGTGCTCTTTTCTGATCCTAATAAATAACTTTTTATTACACATTTTCATATATTGTGTATAAACTAATCCCTAGAGATCAATAACCATAATACCAATAACAATAATTAAACAAACACACACACACACACGTATTTATGCATGTGTGTGTGTGTATGTATATATACACTCACCGGCCACTTTATTAGGTACCCCATGCTAGTAACGGGTTGGACCCCCTTTTGCCTTCAGAACTGCCTCAATTCTTCGTGGCATAGATTCAACAAGGTGCTGGAAGCATTCCTCAGGGAGTTTGGTCCATATTGACATGATGGCATCACACAGTTGCCGCAGATTTGTCGGCTGCACATCCATGATGTGAATCTCCCGTTCCACCACATCCCAAAGATGCTCTATTGGGTTGAGATCCGGTGACTGTGGAGGCCATTTTAGTACAGTGAACTCATTGTCATGTTCAAGAAACCAATTTGAAATGATTAGAGCTTTGTGACATGGTGGAAGTAGCCATCAGAGGATGGGTACATGGTGGCCATAAAGGGATGGACATGGTCAGAAACAATGCTCAGGTAGGCCGTGGCATTTAAACGATGCCCAATTGGCACTAAGGGGCCTAAAGTGTGCCAGGAAAACATCCCCCACACCATTACACCACCACCACCAGCCTGCACAGTGGTAACAAGGCATGATGGTTCCATGTTCTCATTCTGTTTACGCCAAATTCTGACTCTAACATCTGAATGTCTCAACAGAAATCGAGACTCATCAGACCAGGCAACATTTTTCCAGTCTTCAACTGTTCAATTTTGGTGAGCTCTTGCAAATTGTAGCCTCTTTTTCCTATTTGTAGTGGAGATGAGTGGTACCCGGTGGAGTCTTCTGCTGTTGTAGCCCATCCGCCTCAAGGTTGTGCGTGTTGTGGCTTCACAAATGCTTTGCTGCATACCTCGGTTGTAACGAGTGGTTATTTCAGTCACTGTTGCCCTTCTATCAGCTCGAACCAGTCTGGCCATTCTCCTCTGACCTCTGGCATCAACAAGGCATTTCCGCCCACAGAACTGCCGCTCACTGGATGTTTTTTCTTTTTCGGACCATTCTCTGTAAACCCTAGAGATGGTTGTGCGTGAAAATCCCAGTAGATTAGCAGTTTCTGAAATACTCAGACCAGCCCTTCTGGCACCAACAATCATGCCACGTTCAAAGTCACTCAAATCAACTTTCTTCCCCATACTGATGCTCGGTTTTAACTGCAGAAGATTGTCTTGACCATGTCTACATGCCTAAATGCACTGAGTTGCCGCCATGTGATTGGCTGCTTAGAAATTAAGTGTTAACGAGCAGTTGGACAGGTGTACCTAATAAAGTGGCCAGTGAGTGTATATATATATATATATATATATATATATATATATATGTGTGTACATTAAATTAAAATACTGTACATTAAAGTCAAGTACTATACAGTACTGTACATTAAAATTCAAATACGTGTAGTCCCTTTATATTTTGTTTACATAAACAAAATATAAAAGGACTACACGTATTTGAATTTAATGTACAGTACAGACAATATTTTATGCACAGAATGGATTTATCAATAAGCAGAGTAAACATTAAAATAAACATATGCAAGTCTCTAGCTTTATTGTAAAATAAAACACACATTGTTTTAGACTTTAGCCAGTCACAACTGAATTACTTTTTACAAGGCTATTTTCCTTTTTCCATGATTTCCTTTTTCATCCCAATAGCTCATTGCAACCTTGTCCCCTGAGTTTAGTCAAAATGCTATAAAGTGAGTGATCTCCTTTGTCCCTTTGATGACCTGAAGTTGTACAGTACAGCAATCTATTGCATCTAAGCACCACTCCACACACACAGCATAAGAAAATATGATCTTTAACCACACAAATGATCATAAAGACAGTAAAAAAAGTCAGACGAATGTGCACAATGTCAGAAATTAACATTAAAATTGATTGACAAGTGTTCTCCCCTCTGCTTAAAACTTAATCCTACATTCACATTTAATCTTAGCCTGTATAGAAATTCAAATATCAGCATTATTCGTATTTACTGACATACAATGGCACCAGTAATATAATTACCAATTTTCAAATTAAATAAAGCCTCAAAGAATATGAGCATATTTACAATAACAAGCAGTTTTCCTCTTACAAAGAACAGCAAATCGGAAGCATCATCGAATCAATGCAACCACAGAAATTCATTTAAATAACAGAATGTACATTCATCATAATAAGGTGTCAGCAATGTATTGCCTAAAGTTATAGATATGGAGGGATTTATACAATGTACAATAACTCTGTCAGTCTTCTCTCATTAATGGCCATGATATTTATCATTATAAATGCACTTAGAATGAAATGAGTGGAAAGTGAATGCAAAGAAATATATATATATATATATATATATATATAAAAACAAAAAAACTTTAAGGACTTATAAATAAACCCTTAAGCAAAATGGGGCACTTTTGAGAACTGGCAAAAACATAAGAAATGTATATTAAATAATTATAAATCTAATATGCCCCAACAGCATTGGGCGAGCTTAAAATGCACAAAAAAACAGGTTTTGTTGTCTGTCCCATCACGTATCTAGTGTCCCTTGGGTCCTGTTCCTGTAGTGGATGTTTGTGGCTGTAGTTTCTCTGATTTCCTGTCTTTAGTCTCGCTGTCAGAGGCCGAGTCTGAATCCTGCACCTGCTGCTGTTTCATCCACATGTCAGAGTACAGCCCTCCCTTCGCCAACAGCTCCTCATGCCTACGACAAGCAATGATACTGGACTTTAAACTGCATAGTTCATGTATTAGCGAGTCGGACTTTGTGTTCAGCATAGTAGTGAATAAACTCACCCTCCTCTCTCCACAATCTGCCCATCACGAAGCACAAGAATCATGTCGGCTCCAATGACAGTCGACAATCTACAATAGATGCACATCAGAGATAGCGTTATACAATAGGAAATCCTGTAATGTATAAAAGACCTTAATATCAGTTTTATGAATTATGCTTTAACTGTAATAATTGATGGGAGTTGTCGATTTGAGTAAAAACATTCTTAACCCCTTGAAAGGCAAAGATCGGCAGCAGCCCAGGATTATTGTTGTTCAACATTCACTGCACATTTAAAACGTCACACTCTCATAAATCATTTAATCATGTGCTTACCTGTGTGCCACCACAATGGTGGTTCTGTTGGTGCAGACTTTAGCCAGCGATGCCTGGATATTTCGCTCAGTCTGTGTGTCTAGAGCAGACGTGGCCTATTGGTAGAGGATGAGAAAATTAGTCCATGATAAAAAATAAAAAGTACTTGAGTACTGGCCAGAAAACTGGTCCTAACCAAAAAGTTTTTGCTCTAATCACAATGACTTTGATTGGTTGCTTGTTCTCTGTTTCTGTCCGGTAAAGCAGAGTAGCTCCTTCCACTGAAACTTCATAGGTTCAAAATCCTTCACAACTGTGAACATTTGTAGGTTTTTTTTCTTTCTTTTTTTTTCAATTTGTTTAATGTTTTTGAAAGGAGTCTCTTTTGCTTACCAAGGCTGCAGTTATTTGATCAAAAATAAGTATTGATCAAGTATTGGTGAAGTATTATTACAATTTAAATAACTGTTCTATTTCAATATATTTTAGTGTAATTTATTCCTGTGATCAAAGCTGAATTTTCAGCATCATTACTCCAGTCTTCAGTGTCACATGATCCTTCAGAAATCACACTAATATGCTGATTTGCTGCTCAACAAACATTTCTGATTATTATCAATGTTGAAAACAGTTGTACTGCTTAATATTTTTGTGGAAACCATGATAGATTTTTGTTTAGGGTTCTTTGATGAATATTAAGTTTAAAAAAAACCTGAATTTATTTGAAATGTAAATCTTTTGAAACATAAACGTTTTTACTGAGACATTTGGTCAAATCAATGTGTCCTTGCTGAATAACAGTATTACTGGTAATAAAACTAAACATTTTGGTAATAAAAATAATTCTTACCAACCCCAAACTTTTGAACCTAAACTTGCTAAAACAAGTAAAAAAATCTCCCAACAAGAAATCATAAAAACAACATGCAAAACTGGGATAATTCCCTCATCCTAAAACGACTGTATGTATTCTCCCATAATGCACTGGTGACGTACCTCATCGAGGAGGATGATCTGAGGCGCTTTGAGGATGGTGCGAGCGATGGCGACTCTCTGCTTCTCTCCTCCGCTCAACTTCAGCCCCCTCTCACCCACCTGAGTGTCATAGCCTACAAATATAAATCAATTATGATTATCAACTTTGAACTCAAACATGATCTAGACTCAAAATAATCGGAGCACATCTTATAAAGGTCTGCATTTCAGAACCCCTACTTATATTCACTGCTTACAGTTTAATTCTACTTTTTCAATGCCAAAAATGGTTCTCACCGTCCGGGAAAGTTATGATTTTGTCATGGATGTCAGCGGCAATCGCAGCCTCCTCCACCTCCTGGTCAGTAGCAGCAACTCGACCGTAACGGATGTTGTCCCGGATTTTGTCATTAAACAGGACGGTGTCCTGAGGGACAACGCCAATGTGAGCGCGCAGAGAGGACTGCTTCACCTGAGACACAACCAGACATATGAATTAACAAAATATCCCTCATGTATACAGGTTTGGGTGCCTTTTATATATTACAAGCCAATGGCAGGTTCACCTTTGAGATGTCTTGACCGTCTATTTTTATACACCCGCCCTGAACGTCATAAAAACGGAAAAGCAGACGGATGATGGTGCTCTTTCCTGATCCAGACTGTCCGACCTGAAAAAAATCCAAACAGTCATGAGACACACACACACGCAAAAGTTTGGGGTCAGTACAAAATATATATCTTTTTTTTAAAGAAATACTTCAGCAAGGATGCTTTAAGTTGATCAAAAGTGACAGCAACGACATTTATATTGTTACAAAGGGTTTCTATTTCAAATTAATGTTGTTCTTTTGAAATTTCTTTTCAAAGAATAGAAAAAAACATATAAATTTCCACAAAAATATGAATCAGTACAACTGTTTTTTCAACATTGATAATCATAAGAAATATTTCTTGAGCAGGAAATCAGCATATTAGAATGATTTCTGAAGGATCATGTGACACTGAAGACTGGAGTAATGATGCTGAAAATTTGGATTTGTCATAACAGGAATATATTACATTATATTCCACAATATTACTGTTTTAATGTATTTTTGATGCAGTCTTGGTGAGCATAAGAGACTTTCAAAATCATTTTAAAATCTTACCGACCCCAAACTTTTGAACGGCAGTGTATATACCAAAACAAAGCTGAAAAGGCATTAACAGCAGCACAACTTTTAAAGGATGTATAAAACAGATCAGACTTACAAGTGCGACCGTCTGTCCGGGAAGTACGGAGAAAGAGACGTCTTTTAGAATTTCCTGGCTGCAAAAATATCCGCATCGTATAAAATAAAATTTCACATTATTGAGAGAATACTGGTCATATGTTAAATAAATTACTCTAATAATAATAATAATAGAAATACATTTAACGTTAGCTGCTTACCCTTGCGTGTACCTGAAGAAGACATTCTCAAAATCTACTTTTCCCTGTCTGTAGCAGAGGCTTCCTGCGTTGACATCATCCTTCACCTAAACAAAAACCCAAATAACCATGTCATTACTTATTCAAAAGCTTCTCTGAAATTAATTAAAAAAAAAACCCTTCACTCACTTCCTCATCCTCAGTGAAGAGCTTGAACATGCTTTCCATATCGATGAAGGAGTTCTGGATCATTCTGTTCAAGGAAAGATACATGCTTACTGTCATCTTTGTTCTTTTGAAAACGCATATAAATAGTGATCTATAAACGAACGATAAACTATTATCCAAGACAAAAAAAGCTGCATACCTGTAGTATGTTCCAAACCAGTTGAGCGGAGTGTAGAGCTGGATGATGTATGTCCCAAACAGCACATAATCTCCAACCTGGAAGACCACCGTAAGTTACAAGCAGTTCATGTCACATGACCATAACAAATAATAACAATTACAATATTGAAATAATATTTAATACAATTAAATTTGTTCTTTTTTATTTAAGTTTTTATCTAAGTTTTTCTTATTTAATTTTAAAATGTATTAAAAGACATTAAAATAATATTTGTTTGAAAATCAATTCTGCACTTCATTACACTTTTTTTTTTTGCCACTGATTGAAGATCACAATCTCAAACTTTAATCAAAATCTCTGTTTGGGAAACTGCAATAAAGTAATTTAGTGCATTAGCCAAACTGTAGGCTGTTGATTATTGCAAAGTAGCATAAAAACTCGTAAAAAAGAAGCATTAAAACCAAATTCAATTGATGTGTCTTACAGGTGTGCAATTTAAAATCTGATTGCTAATCCAATCAGATTTTAAAGCCAGAACTATTTTTTTAAAGCCAGATCTATTTTATTAATGTACATGTACAGCAATCAAAAGTTTGGGGTCTTATGCTCAAAAATACTGCATTTATCTAAAGTACAGCAAATACTGTAATACTGTTTTGTATATTGATATATTTAAAGGGACAATGTGCAGTTTTTTTAAGTATTTTATTATCTAAAATCAATATTTTTATTCATAAATATTTCCTCCTCAATGGTGTACAAATACCTCTGCCAATGATCTGACTTATCCTCGTAAACGAAGAATTTATTATCTTTATATACATGGGACGGGTAAGTCCACAGAGGCTTACATGTCGTTCCGCCATCTTGAAAAACTATAATAGCAGAGAGGGACAAAAAGTACTAGGCCAACGCGTTTCCACAACTCGTTTTCGTTCAGAGCCAGCGTCACGTGACTGAAAGCAGCTGAACCGGACAAGAAGATTTGAGAGACGCTTGTCACTGCCCCAGCGAGTTTAAAAGGCTGCACTGCACGGTTATTTATAATGGAGGACCATACTTATGTGGAGCCACAGGACCGGAGATTGCAAAAAACAAGGTTTAATGTCGGGATAGCTTTTTCCAGGTGGAAAGAGTTGATGCAGGAGAAAGCGTTCAAAATAGAAATTACAAGCTTTTTTTCATTGCTTGGTTTCTTTTCTGCCTTTGGAAACTTTAAATTCTTTCAAATATCTATATGTTCGTTGTGTCAAGTTGCAGTTTGTTTGAAATAACAAACCTGTTCACCCGAAGGAAAACTCGATGAAGTGCTATTAGAAGACATCCTGTCATAGCTTTTGGGTACATAACGGCTACCGTAGAAGCAACGCGCATTTGAAAAAGCGAGGCGCTGTAGAGCACAATTCGTTTGAATGCAAAATACAATTTCACCATGGGAGAAATTCCTACACATTGTCCCTTTAAAAATGTAGTTTATTCCTGTGATGGAAAGCTTCAGTGTCACATGATCCTTCAGAAATCATTTTAATATGATGATTTGCTACTCAAAAAAGTATTTTTTCAACATTATATATGTCTTTACTATGACTTTTGGACTTTTTTCAATTTAATGCATCCTTGCTGAATAAAATAGTACTACTTTCTTTATAAATTTATATTCCTTTTTTATTCGTTTCAAATCTTTTTTTCCTGCTTTAAACCACTTCAGAAGTTTCTGGCAGTGTCCTGATATGATGAGTCGTCCTGACTGTTCGTACCTGAAACTTTCCCTCTGTCACGAAGTACGCACAGAGCAAAGATCCGGTCAGAAGACCCAAACCGATGATGAGGTTTTGCGTTTGGTTTAAAAACGCCAGAGACGCGTTGGTCTTCCATTCCGATACCTGAGCAAAAAATAAAATATAATTACGAAAGTGATATTTATGATTTATTCCTGTGAGCTAATAATCAATAAACTATAAAATACACGTTATAAGAAATCTGGTGTGGAGAGCAGTCTTAAAAAATACTACCTGATATTTCAAGATGGCATCCTCAAAGCGACTTGCTTCATAACGCTCTGCATTGTAATATTTCACCTGTTGACAATATCATAATTCAATCACACCATTTGAAATGCACATTATATTGCACAGCACTATTTTTTTTATTTTTTTTACCACACATATTCTGATATTCTTCAAACAAAAAACCATACCGTCTCAAAGTTCAATAAAGAGTCCACAGCTTTCGATTTGGCATTGTTATCTTGTGTGTTCATATCCCGTCTGTATTTAGTTCTCCATTCAGTGATAACGATGGTGAGAGCTGAAAGAGACACAGATAAAAGAGCAGTCAATCAATCAAAAATGCTGATCTGGTATATTTCTATTCTTCTGTCTTTAGTGACTCCTGGGACCAGGAGAATCAAAACTGCACTCCTGCAGATTGCCGTATGGTGTTAACAGTATGTGAATTTTATATTTGCACAGAATACCGTGACAAATTAAATTGGCTGAATTGTGCAGCACACTAAAGCACACTGTATCCCACAATGCAATGCACTAGACTACTTGACCTTCCAGTTCCAGTGTGACGAATAAGCCAGAAGTAATATCAACTGTAATTTTAACATAACAGTTATAAAATGTGCACCAATTGCAGAATTAAACAAGAAGCACAATAAGGTTCTTTGACAGTGTTATTTTAGTATTACTTATCTACTACTAAAGTATTTATAAATACTTTGAATGAACCTTTATTTAGTTATTTAAAAAAAAAAATCTTTAATTTATCTTCAGTTTAAGTAATTTTAGTATTTCAACTCAAGTTTTTTTCATTTAGTTGCCAATATATACAAAGAAATTAATCTAATATAGCATAGATGTATGGATACTGCATTCTGTTTCACAAACTCCACTTAGTAGGCAGTATATTTCTATTTCAAACACATCCATTATTCTAATTAATCACCTGAACCAGCTAGACAAGGTCCTCGGGTATAACTTGAAATGTAAGTGTAAGAAAACAAAACTCAGGAAACAAGATCTTTGGGTACAGGACAATCATTCTCTGTGTGGTTTAAGTTTACCAGCGTATTTGAGACAATCATCTTCTCTGAATGATTTTAAGAAACAGTTAAAAACATAAGCTTTTGTGCAGGTATGAGTGCTGAGGTATTGTTGCTGTAGCTACCCGTCTGAGTTAGTCTTGAACAGTGTGTGTTGATGTTTTTCCTGGTTATTTTTTGTAATTATCTCGCTTTTTATTTTTTATATCATTGTACAGCACTGTGGTCCACTATGTTGTTTTATTATGTGCTTCATAAATTAAGTTGGATTAGATTGGATAAATAAATGCATTCAGCACACAATTATACTTTTAAAACTCAAAGGGGCATCTATAGTATTTAGTTTTTAGTAAAAGACTAAAAACATATTACAATATATTGCTCAAGATCTCAAGTGTCACTCAATGCAATAAATAAATATTTTCTTTCATTAATGCAATTGTACTATTAATTCTCAAACCAGACCAGACAAGGAGCAACTATAGTATTTTAGGTAAAATTACTAAATTCTAATGTAAATCATTTGAAATGGGGGCAACAATAAGGGAGGACAAATGTGTGTGTGTGTGTGTGTGTGTGTGTGTGTGTGTGTGTGTGTGTGTGTGTGTGTGTGTGTGTGTGTGTGTGTGTGTGTGTTCATGTATATACACATTGTTAGATACTCACTGAGGTAGAGGGCCATGCAAACAAAGACTATGAGGCCAAACCAGGCATTGAAATTGGATATAAAATAGATAATGGCGATGACAATGTCAGCGATGGTGGGGAAGATGCTGAACACGATGTAGCTGTTGGAATAAACCAAATAAAAAAATATTTCAAGAAAATAGAGACTGGGATCACTTTAACTGTAAAAGCACACTATCTGTACAAAAGGTCTGTATGCATCCAAGACTAATATTGCAAAGTTGACCTGGTTTATACTTGCATCCAAATGCAAACACCTCGAGATAAGAAGGTTTGTGGCATCAGGACACAATTTTATCAATGATTTTTTTAACAGTACCTCAGCAGGCTGTTGATGGAGGAGGTTCCTCTGTCGATGCTTCTCAGGACGTCTCCGGTGCGGCGGCCCAGGTGCCAGCGCAGAGACAGAGAGTGCAGGTGAGCGAAGAGACGCACCTGCACCACACGGTTAGTGTACTGCTGCACACGAATCCACAGGAACGAACGCATGTTACTCACAAACCCAGACGCACCTGCAGACGGATACAGATGAAGATAAGACTGTGGTCAGATTCAAACTGATGTTCCCCGTCACGCTACAAAGATATCACTAAATTGGGTGATGTTCCCTCACCAGCTCCACCACCCTGCAGGAACTTCAGAAGCCCGTAAACACACACTGTAGTGGCCAGAGTCTTCCAAGAGCTCCCATCTGTCAGCTGGTTCACTGTAATGGAGATTCATAATATACATATAGAATATTTAATTCCAGAAATTAGCTGCAAAGCCCGCACGAGTGTGGACAAAAAGACTAAGAAAAGGCTACTGACCTGAACATACAATAATTTCCCTTATATTTCATAAATAACTCAATCATGACTGAATAAGACTCGTATTCTGCACCTATGTTCTTGTAGTAGATGGGCACGAACACATTGATGACGCGTTCCACGGCCAGCATCCCGAGACACAGCAGAACCAGCAGCTGAAGCACGGCACTGCCTTTAGGCCACATGTACGGCACCAACAGACGCACCTTCTGCCCAAAGTCTTTCCACGTAGACTGATTCTCGTCAGAATTACCCAAGAGAGGCTGAAAAAAAGATGCATTAATGAGATGAATGATTATGACAGTAAGATGTATTTATTTATGCAGATTTGACAACAGCAGAGTGCATCTAATGTCTTACTGCTCCGTGCTCAACATCTCGCTCATCTTCATTGACCAGAAGCATGTACGGTCGGCGAGGCAAGCCTGGGGCTTTGAGGCCTAACAGGAACAGCAAACCTGAGCTGAAGTATCGCACCAGCCAGAAAGCAAACTCCAACTGCAGTCACAATGAACAATATGCATATATTTTATTTGCTTATTAAGCGATTATTATTTGCTATTGCTTGTATCTGCTACAATCATATCATACATATCTCTGATATTGTGTAAAGACAAGAGTAAAGACCATCACTATAATGCGTCTCACATTTTGAGATTTTTGGTCGTTAGCATGTAAACAAATTACTTCAAAGTTTTTAGATTTTATGGTTTCTTTGGCTTAAAAAAAAATAAAATGATATTTTGTGGCATGGATTTGACTGAAATGTATCCAGTGTGTCTTACTGAATTTGTCTTCTCTAATTAATAAGTTACAAATAAAAACAATTGTATCATAAGCATGGGGTGACAAATTTAAAGCAAAGCATATACAAAAAACATTCAATATTTTAAATATAAAATATTTAAACATATAATATTAAAATGTTTAAATTTAGACTTCGTTTTAAGTTTTAGGTCTATTTACATTTATAATTACATACGGTCTATTTAAGGGTTATATTTTATTTTTTAAACGTATTTATTGTTTAATAATGTATACATATTGATGATGTATTAACGGTTTATTAATTATATATATATATATATATATATATATAAAATATTACATTACATTTAATAAAATTGTTATTAATTTACCGGTATTTGCCCCTTTTACAGTATATATATATATACATATATATATATATATATATGTATATATTTGCTAACTTTTTTTTAAAGAGACAAATTTGAAAACTGGAATAATTTTGTAAATGCTCTTTTAGTTAAATCTGGCAAAAGTGTTGGTCATTTTTATAACGTGCTTTTTTTTTGCAATATGCAATTTTGCATTCAATATTCAAAGTTTAGAGCAAGACTAGAGTGAGCAGAGTAAAACTGCTACATCATGGAGTGTCACAAACACTGTTATCTAATTGGTCAAACCTAAACGGTTGAGGTGTGGCCAACGAGGCCAAAAAAGGAGTGCAGCCAGAACTGACCATGACTCAACAATATTGTCACTGCCTACTATTTAAAAACACAAAATGACTCAACAATACTGTATTTTTAATGACCATCCAAACTTGACAGAATTGCAGAGTCATTCAAAGTTTGTTCCTCAATATGTATTGTAAACCTTTCACAAAATTACCATAATGATGAGTCATGGTGTGTGAGCAGCATTCCTACATCTGCCACCCCTTTCAAATATAAACACTTTAGGCAGGACAATGGCATCAGTGCCAAAGGTTATGCTACAGACATACATGATAATACAATATAAAACACTAAAAACTACTACAATCTGGTGGATAATTTGATGCAACTCGTGTGTTTGCCATTACCTTTCACCTAGTGGTAGATAAACAGGTTAAAAAAAAGCCAAATTATTTACATTACTGCAAAAATTTTGCATAAGCAAATCATCTTTATTAACCGATTTATTATTAGAGAACAGTTTATTTTAAAATGTATTTATTGTTTAATAATGTATAATTATTTGGTGATGTATTCCTAACCAAACACACACGTACCTGTTGATCGGACGTCTCCAGAGTCCACCACCACTGAGGGCTCATCCACGACACAAACGCCAGGTTTTCAGCCGCAAAAGCCATGGCCCAGTACAGCAACAGTACCGAACTGTGTCCTCTGGTTCTGTCCCGCACCAGAACCCTCCTTCTCTCCAGACGCAGCAGAGCCACGGCCCAAAGCCAGCCCATCATGGAGAGACAGCCGTACAGGACCACGTATCCCGGCAGCTCTCCGCTGCGAGCGATCCGAAACACCATCCAGCCCAGAGCCTGCAGGACGAGCAGCACCGACAGGCCCACTTGGAGCCGGTAGAGTCGAGAGCGAGGGATGAACTTGGGCTCCATGTCTGTGCCGTAGCGGCTGTACCAAACACACAGAAACGTGCCGAAGAGGAAGAAGAGGGTGAGGAGGACGGACGGCACCAGGGTGAAGTAGAAGCAGAGAGTCAGACCGCCCTCCACCCACACCTGCTGCATGGAGACTCCAGCTTCACAGAAACTCTTCATCTCCACCATGATGATGATGATGATGATGATGGATCCACACAAAGAATATCTGGAAAAAAATATATGGTGAGGAACCAAATAAACTTGTGTTTCCCACAACAAATACTGTGGCAGGACCATAAAACAGGGACGGTATCATATATATATATATATATATATATATATATATATATAAACCTATGTACAAAAATACCTAAAACTTTATAAAAACTATAATGACAAATAAAAAAAAACTAATAAAAATGACAAAAAAAGAAAATCCTAAAACTTTATTTAAAAAAATTATAATAGTATCTCAACAATACTAAAATAACTGCCTGGTACAGTGATAGTTTCAAATTCAGACACTGCTACTAAGGTAGAACGATTAACATAGCATATACCATGGTAAGTTACCGCAAGGTACTTTTAAATAATACCAAAGTATTACCATACATGTACAAAAACATCAACGATAATAAAACTTGATTAATATTAATATTGATATTAAATGTTCTCATTTGACTAATAATACATAATTTTTATAATAAATATAATTTACATAATACATAATAATACATATTTAAAAAGCAACGTTTATTGTTGAGGATGTTCATGAGCCAGTAATTATAATAATACCTTTGATTATAATGCAATACCATTGTTTTATAATGTTTATTTGAATGTGTTGTGACCAGCTTACTAATACACTACCATGGTAAAACATGCATGCATAATACATGCTACTGTACCATGTAAAAAAGAACATGACAGTTCCACTTCTTTGTAAATGTTATTTATAACCACATACCGAAGTACCATAGTATTACCGTGTGAAATCACGTCCACGGGAACTTGTGTTAGGCCAGTGAGAATATGAACTAACCTGTTTCCAATGTCAGTGGGATCCTTCTAGTCTTTGGCGTGCGTCCTTGAATAACTATCCACTCAGATGGATTATGATGATGTTAGCGCTCCTAAAACATGTCATCGTATGTGGTTGCTGTATATGACCTTACACTACAGTCAGAAATTCACGCAGTTCAACTCCACCATCCATTACACAACAAATAACACCGGAGCAAACAAACAAACGCCTCGTGGTCCTAGCGCCCTCGTTACGCAGTCACGTGGCAAGTGTGACTATTCTCAGCGCAAGTAAGAATGGTCCAATCGAAGTAACTTGCGATCTCTCGTTGATTTTCATAATGCAGTTTATTGTAAATTAATAAACTGCGGGATTTATCAATTTAAAACATCATGTTCTTTCTTATGTCTACAATAAGTCAAAATTCATCCTAAGATTTGAATGGGATCAAAGGATATGTTTCCAATCTGCCATTTTTTGCTACTGTTGCGTCTATGCAATTCTTTGTTGTATTGGGGGGGATTTTTCAACGCTTCTGACCAATTCATTTATATGACTTTTGCATAATAATAATGAAATAGTTGTATTATTCAATAATTCAATCAATAATTTAAAGACCCCTTGTGGTGGAAATCAAGTTTTTAATGTTGTTGGTCTATGGTGTTTTTTTAATATGCTTTAAGACAAACCATGTGAAGATTAATAAATCAGCATCTTTGCTGAGTATTTTCTTCTTAAAACTGCAGTGAAAAAAAAGTTTGAAATCGTCGGTGTTTCTAACTACCATTTAATCACATCAACGTGCTGGCGGGCTTTAGCATATAATTAACTGCTGCGAAGTACGAAGGATTCTCAGGAGAAGCCAGGTTATCCGAGACGCTCCTCACTGCAGAACACGAAATCCAGGGGGAGGAGTTGGATCCAGATCCAACTCCTCCCACCTTACATATACCAAAACCTACCCATCTCCACCCCTGATCCCTAACCCCACCCCTAATCCTATACCATCTCCGCCCCCTGATCCCTAACCCCACCGCTAATCCTACCCATCCCCACCCCCTGATCCCTAACCCCATCCCTAATCCTACCCATCTCCACCTCCTGATTCCTAACCCCACCCCTAATCCTACCCATCTCCACCCCCTGATCCCAAACCCCACCCCTAATCCTATACCATCTCCACCCCCTGATCCCTAACCCCACCCCTAATCCTACCCATCTCCACCCCCTGATCCCTAACCCCACCCCTAATCCTATACCATCTCCACCCCCTGATCCCTAACCCCACCCCTAATCCTACCCATCTCCGCCTCCTGATCCATAACCCACCCCTAATCCTACCCATCTCCACCCCCTGATCCCTAACCCCACCCCTAATCCTACCCATCTCCACCTCCTGATTCCTAACCCCACCCCTAATCCTACCCATCTCCACCCCCTGATCCCTAACCCCACCCCTAATCCTATACCATCTCCACCCCCTGATCCCTAACCCCACCCCTAATCCTACCCATCTCCACCCCCTGATCCCTAACCCCACCCCTAATCCTATACCATCTCCACCCCCTGATCCCTAACCTCACCCCTAATCCTACCCATCTCCGCCCCCTGATCCATAACCCCACCCCTAATCCTACCCATCTCCACCCCCTGATTCCTAACCCCACCCCTAATCCTACCCATCTCCGCCCCCTGATCCATAACCCCACCCCTAATCCTACCCATCTCCACCCCCTGATCCCTAACCCCACCCCTAATCCTATACCATCTCCGCCCCCTGATCCATAACCCCACCCCTAATCCTACCCATCTCCACCCCCTGATTCCTAACCCCACCCCTAATCCTACCCATCTCCGCCCCCTGATCCATAACCCCACCCCTAATCCTACCCATCTCCACCCCCTGATCCCTAACCCCACCCCTAATCCTACCCATCTCCACCCCTTAGATCTGGATCCAACTCCACCCCCTGGATCTCGTGTACTGCAATGAGGTGCTATACTGGAGAATCCCACTATATTTTTCTGTTGATATGAAAAATCTGGTACATTTAGCAATATAGCGGGTAAATTATGTATAGGCCTATGATGATATTACGATGTTATGATGAACTATATGCCTCTCTCCTCTGACATTCTAAGTTTTTAAATGCGTTTCTAAAGATGGCAGCTTTCTTACTCTGAGATGGTCTAAATCTTCTTTAAGGAGATAGTTCACCCAAAAATGATAAGTCTGTCATCATTTACTAACCCTCAAGTTGTTCCAAACCTGTATTTATTTGTTCTGCTGTACACAAAGGAAGATAGTATTTTGAAGAATGTTGGACACAAACAGATCCTGGGCCCCAATGACTTCCATAGTAGGGCGAAAAAATACAATGGTAGTCAATGGGGCCCCGAAATCTGCTTGTCTACAAACATTCTTCCAAATATATTCCTTTGTGTACAGCAGAACAAAGACATTTATAAAGGTTTGGAACAACTTGAGGGTGAGTTATGATGACAGAATTTTCAATAAAGGATAATTTCAATCACCAGCAGAGGGCAGCATTATACAGGCTGTTGTGAAGCAGACACCGCCTACACTACCCCACTATAGTACCTACTATTTTTAGGGAGCATGTGAAACAGCTTGCATTATTACACACTGGCAAATAATGAGGCAATAAAGAAGTGTTAAAAATAATGGCTGACATTACTTGAAGTTGGAAGGTCAGGACGTCAGGTCCATCATGTTGCATTGGACGTTATTCTGTGTGTACCCTACTACTCTGTTGCATGCTCATTTTCATCCGGGTATCCCGTGAAATTCACTTATTGAGCATAATATAGCCTCCTATACATACTGTAACTGCAGCGTATAGTATAGCAGTAGCCTATGCTATGCTTTTGCGCAGGGTTCGAAATGACTTCCCAGCAAACATTTGGACGTGTAATGACCGTTGAAAAGACGTCCGTCCGACACGTCCCGTCATGGTTGAAAAATAGTTCCAAAATGAAAGTTGAACCGACGTCTTTGACGTCATCTGGCCGTGAATTCCACGTCTTTTCTGGCCGTGAATTCCACGTCTCTTCAGCGCGTCCCTGGACGTCTAAATGCGTCGTCATTTGTGTTTAAATGTGTTGCTGCATAATTAAGTGTATATAAGCCTGCATTTAAAATAATCACACACATATTGTGTAACATCGTGACAGGGGATCAAGTCTTGAAGTTTACACATCTTGACAAAGGTTCTAAAAAGGTCCAAAATTGGTCTAGTCAGACCTGACCGTCAATAAAACGTTTGAATCACGTGTACATCACAAACAAGAACACATTTGTGGACATAAGAAAAAAAGAAGCATGTTCTGATTTAGCACATTTTATTGATCTTGAAAAGCCAAAATGTATCTTAATATTTTTTCAATGTTTAACATTTGTTAACCAAACTAAAATACCAATTACAAAATACTGAATTATTATATAAAGGGATAGTTCACCCACAAATGAAAATTCAATGAAGAAAGGTATACAGGTTTGAAACATGAGGTTGAGTAAATGATGACAATTTTCATTTTTGGGGAAACTATCCCTTTAAACACATTGTTTGGCTCAGTTTTTGTATCCACCAGCTGTTCATGGAGCCTGTTTCAGGTGTTCTGCCATTGCTGCATCAATTTCAGAGTCTGTAGCATTTGGGCTCCACCTCTTCACAGCATCTAAGGGAAGAGAATATATATATATTTAAATAAATAAAATTATTATTAAATTAAAATTTAAGGTAAATGATATGCACCTATTTTCAAAATATTTTTATGGTCTACAGCTAAATTTAAAAAAAAACATGGAACAACATGAATGAATCATGAATGACACATTAGAAAAAGGTAATCAACATGCATTACATTTTATTTTATTGTATAAAATATGTTCTGCTTTTATTTTTAAAGCAGTTACTGAAAACATACATGTTAAAATCCAGCTAAACATTTCATTCCATTTCAGATAATTTACTTTCTGAAAGAAACTCTCAAAAGGCTACATTAATAAGTTACAGTAATGACTGTATCATTAAACAATATACTTGGTATAACGTTACCGTTGTTGTATACGTTCAAAGTTACTTTTAGCCTACTGGCTAATTTTAGCCAAACTCAGTAAATTTCAGTTGACAATGTGGGCATAATTTCTTTCGGTTCATTCATGTCACACAAGTAAAACTCAAGCACGTTAATCTAATACAAAATGTAGGCCTACTTACCCAACAGTAGATTTTTAATAATATCGACACAACTCCCTCCTCTCCTCGTGTTTGTTCACAGTTCCAGAATCTATGGGGAGAACGCGTTAACATCTCGCGAGATAATCCCATCGCATGATTTTGTAATATCGCGAGATCTTTTGTTACTACATCTTGGCAGCACAGTTTATGGTTTGGGCAGAGGGTTTGGGTAATTACATCCAACTCAGACATAAATGGTGACCGGGTATATTTCTGTTTTACATGTACATACATTCCATAAAAAAATAACAACGAATACATCAGGTACAACAGGTTAAAATAATGATTAAAAGGCAGTGGCTTTGCAATCACTTGACTATACTGTGCATTTTGTGATTATAATTTATAAAAACAAGATAAAGTAAATATATATTCATTTGTATATAAATCGTGTATTTTATAAAGAATTATAAATCCTGATAATTTTTTTCTGTCTTGCTAGACTAGACGTGCAAAAGACGTCAGTGGAGTATATTCACAGCCTGACTAGACGTGTAAAGGACGCCAGTGGACGTCTTCTTCACAACCTCTTAAAAACTTAATGGGCAACTACATTAATTATTGCAGTATTAACCATGCGAGGATTAAGCGCAGCTTTTGCATATTTAACAAGGATTTCATAGAGGGTCATGATGGACTTTAAATGCACGTGTAAAAGACGTCGCCAGGTGACGTCCTCTCACCCGATACACTAAACATAACTACACGAGCTAAAAGTTAAAATAACAATTATACATGCAACTGTAGACATGTACAAATGTATCTGAATGCATTTTTAGGAAATGTTTTGTGTTACATTTTTTACCGATTTATGACGTCCTGGCCGCAACTATTTTTGGCCAGGGACACGACGTTGCCGTCGGACCAATGTCTGCTGGGATTATGACTCTCGGGGGGTCCCCTAAAATGTATGTAATTATAAAATTATAAAAAATTCTGAAGACTACATTGCTACACGCCTACTGTATGCAAAATTATATGGACCAATGTCCGGGTTTTTCCTGTCTCAAAATGAGGCGGAGGTGGCAAAAGCGTAACACTAGGGGGGTCCGGGGGCATGCCGCCATTTATTTAAATCAAAAGTTCTTCTTTTGGCAAAATTACATTTCCTTTAGCCTAAACAGAGGCTTTACTCCCTTTAAACTTAAATTGTCAATGTTTCATTTTTGAAAACACTCTTATCTGAATAATTTTTTGTACCTTTATAAAGGGCACTTTTCCCCTAATTTTATTTAATGTATGCTCTAAATTTCATTTCAAATTCTTACATTTTATTAATAGGCTACATTCAATTAAAATAATAAGACAGCCTAGCTAGCCTAGTGGTGGCTGCTACCAATCAAATGAAATAATTTACATTGAAAAATTATAACTGTATTAAAAAAAGATTATGAGATTGTTTTAAATATTTTTTTTAATATACAAATAAGGAATGTTGAAAAGAATGATACTTTCAAACTAAACCGCCAGTAGGCGGCAGGCGACCGTCTTAACGAGCGAGTCATTGAGTCATTCATTTAAACGATTCGTTCAAACGGCTGATTTATTCAGAATGAGGCGGTTTAGTAATGGGTAATTGAATCTTTGACTCGAACGATTAGTTCAAAACGCTGATATTCAGTAATGAATCATGGATGAGTGTTGATCTGAGATGCGCTGTGGTTCTGTTGTTTGGAACTATTTTCGCTGCTGAACAGAACAAAAACAGCCATTGCGTCTAAAAATGTAAGTAACTTAATTTTGACTGTTTAGATCTTTAGCCCCTGATATCCTAGATTTGATTGGACAGAAAATCTGATGAGAAGCTGAACTGCAGAGTGATGTCATCAAAATCATTGATCTATATTGGTGGAAGTGAGTGACTGTACGTTTTGAATGCTTATATCTTATAAATGATAATTTTTTCATGTTTTGGAGCACACTAGCTTATAGATAACCGCAAGGCTAACATATTCATACTAAAAGCCCCAAAACATACATTTTGATTTTCATGAGGACTTTACATTTTTTTTACTTATACTCCATGTTTCTGCACACGACACTTAAAAAAAACCCTTGCTACTCTGTTATTTTATTCTTGTCCGTTTCTTGAATTGTACACGTAAGTGTTTCCAGACAAATTGCACGTTCACGTCATATTTATTTAACATTTTATTTTATTCTCATTCTGTGGACTGTTTCTGTGCATTGGTTATGCACAGCTGTTTTATAATAATCTAAAATGGTTCCGTTTGTTAACATTGGTTAACATGGACTAACAATGAAAAATAAAGCATTTGTTAATCTTAGTTCATGTTCACTTCAACATTTACTAATATACATCAGAAGCTTTATAGTTAATATTTTTAAAGGACCAACTTCCCCCGACCAGTCATAAGTCATGCACCTCAGAATCCAGTATTAGCCGCTGAAATGACCTCTGTGTTCATTAATTTTACAAAGACAATTACCTCATCATTTCCTGAATACACTGAAGTGAAGTCTGTGATCTGAAGACATCGTATGTGTTATTAATAGAGGAGGTCAGTGAAGCCCAGACTCAGGACCATTACACAGACTAAGAGGAACTTAATTGTTTCCTGAGTGTCTGGATCTTGGTCTGCAAGAGAAAGGTAATTAAATCTCCTCCTCCATTATGAACATTTCATTGTTGACGGGGGTCTTAATTAAGGGGGTTAATTATGAGCTCTGACAGGGGTCGTCTCGCTCCATGACGGGAGGCCTTTGTCATCTTTATCTTGGTCAGTCTACCTTCCTCATTCAAACACGAGAAGAACAGGGTCATTTACAGTGAAAGAGTTCAATAACTGAAGCGCTTTATTTGAAGATAATAGAAGGCTTCTCATAAATACACGCTACATAAAAGAAATTACACAGAGCAAATCCAGAAAGACATTCACAAGTTGCCAAAAAATACAGAAATATTAATGAGTTAAGAAACACAGGGTTAAGTGTCAACATTTTCCATGTTTATGCATTTACATTCTTTTTTTACATATTCTATATTATAAGTACATTTATAAACTGACACAAAAAGGCTGTTATACAACCATATAAAACATATACATGAATAGATTCACTGAGTTATTATACATAGAAATATGGCCAATGGGAAAAAATACATATTCAAGATAAATTACATGAAAATAATATTTACTTCTTTTTTTTCTTTTACATTTTAAATACATATATTTTACACATGGACACAAAGTTCTTATAAAAATGTATATATATATATATATATATGTAAATATAGCCTATATGAATATGTATGTACTGTATGTATATATATATATACAGACATTCAAGATATATTACCTTAAAAGTAATATCTCATACAATTTTAACCCAAAATTAATCTTTTTTTATAAATATATTTAGACTTTTTAATGGAAAACAGTACAAAATATAGTTTAAGAGTAGGATTTTCTGCAATGTTTGCAGGTGTTTTTACTTCTTTTTAGGTCATTAATGTTTCCAACACAGAAGTAGTAAAAAGCCAAGTCAAGTGTTGCATTCTTTAAAAACATAAATAGCATAAACATAAATAGCATCATATTATGCATTTGGGTGTCAATTCATTACGTTAATTCTTTGAACTTAATTTGATCTGGTTAAAATTATAAACAGAATGATCCTGAAAATGAAAAACAACAATTGTAAATTACAAATTTGGCTCTACTTCAGTCATTTTGATTTATTAATTAGTAAAATGCATTGTAAGTTTAGTTCCTTTTAACATTTATTTTGGGTACAAATATTTGTGATCTGGAATCATCTAGTCAAAGGCATTTTTTATTTTACAACAACATAGTAATTTATCATAACTGCCCTCCCCCTCCTCTCTCTCTCTCTCTCTCTCTCTCTACCATGGCCAGGATCTTGTTTTGGGTATTTGTAAGCCAGCAAACTGCCACACCATAAACCATGTGGTTTATTACTCATTACTGGGTCACTGCGAGTCAATGGATGTGCTTGTAAAACACACCAATATTACACAACATCAGCTGGCTACAAACACACCATTATACTTCCATACCTCACTTCATTTTAATAAAGCTTCCTATAGCTTTCATGGCCCTTTTAATTACATCTATTTGTCTTCCTGTTCCCATGAGCCATGTGCAGGGATGCAGTCGGTTTCACCAAATGCAAGACATGGACCATAAAACTCAATCACCAAAATATAAAAGCCATTTTTATGCAAGTGGTTTTATATTAGTCTCATATTCTCTGATGAGAAATATAATAAAAAATCATCAATTTTATTCCGATCCATCAGTCAAATTTTTAATCCTTTTAATGCTGATGAAAGAAGTCTCTAATGCCAATAAAGGCTGCATTCATTTGATCAAAGACGCAGTAAAAACAGTAATTCTGTGAAATATTATTACAATTTAGAAGAACTGTTTTCTATTTAAAAAAGCATATTTTAAATTGCAATTAATTTCTGTGATGCAAAGCTGAATTTTCAGTCATTACTCCAGTCTTCAGTGTCACATGATCCTAGAAATCATTCTAATATGATGATTTGATGATCAAGAAACATTTATCAATGTTGAAAACAGTTGCGCTTTATATTTTTTGTGGGAAGCACAATGCATTTTTAGGATTCTTTTATTGAATAAAGAGATAGCATTTATTTAAATTCACTTTATCAATTGAATGCATCCTTGCTGATAAAAAAGTACTAACTCTTCCAAACAATAAATAACTTTTGAACAGCGTGTAGTCAAACTCTTATCTAGGATTTTGTTGGTTGAGCAGTCAAATCCAAAGTCAGATCTACTAGTCTGAAATTCACTTTTTTCCCCTTGAAAGGATAAAGCACACAGACACGTAGCCTACATTTGTGTCGCTTTAAAAGCGCCAAAAAAGCAGTCAACGGCAAATTGTTACCATGCTCCAAACCAGTAAACAGTGCCGCATCAGCAATTTTAAAAGTTGATGGGTCATTTACTACAGATGGGATTCCCTGAACAGAAACAAGAACCTAATGGGCTTTAACCAACTAACTGCGGGCGACAGCAGACCAAGGAAACAAACACACCCATTAGACGAAACACCTTTTATTGTCATTCACAAGCCAGCGCATGCAGTTTCTGGCGTCTTTGGCAAAACAACGTTCCGAGGATAAAGACACACAAAATTCCAACTGAAACCACCAAAACAGTAATGAGCACCAACTCGATGGAGTACTCTAGAAGAAAGAAGGTAAAGGAGTAAGGGTTATGGATGCAGGACACAGACATAAATCACTTTGGCCCCACTGTTCTTATGAACTTTCCGTTCAAAGAATCCTAAAAAAATGCATGACAGTTACTTTCCACAGAAATATTAAGCGGCACAACGGTTTGAAACATGGATAAGAAATGTTTCCTGAGCAGCAAATTAGAAGGATTTCTGAAGGATCATGTGACACTGAAGACTGGAGTAATGATGCTAAAAATTCGAGATGGTCCTCACTGCAGAACATGAAATCCAGGGGGAGGAGTTGGATCCATATCCAACTCCTCCCACCTTACATATACTTAAACCTACCCATCTTCGCCCCCTGATCCCTAACCCCACCCCTAAACCTACACATCTCCACCCCCTGATCCCTAACCCCACCCCTAATCCTTCCCATCCCCACCCCCTGATCCCTAACCCCACCCCTAATCCTACCCATCCCCACCCCCTGATCCCTAAACCTACCCATATCCACCCCTGATCCCTAACCCCACCCCTAATCCTACCCATCCCCACCCCTTAGATGTGGATCCAACTCCGCCCCCTGGATCTCGTGTACTGCAATGAGGTGCTACTGGAAAATTCAGCTTTGATCACAGGAATAAATCATAAGATACTTTCCAAATATTTCACAATTGTACCAACCCCAAAACTTTTGAATAGCAGTTTGCATTTTGGGGCCACCGTATGCTAAATCCATCATGTCAGTCAAGTCAACAGTCACCTGCATCTTTTGTTGGCTCTTGATAAGACTCTTGAATTTGCAGTAAAGGCTCTTTCTCCAGTGGTAGCAGCTGCTGGACAAAAATCGGTCCAATAGTAGCCTCGTCTTCCAACGTGGAATCTTAAAATGCAAAAAAGATGGAAATAACATTCACATTGCACAGCAGTATAGCTTTCCAAATATATTTGAATGGATTTAAAAGCGGAACGATACCATCAGTGTCCAGACTCCTGGCCTTCCTCATGGCACAGCTGGTCTCACAACAGCCACACACCTGATCGTCTCCGTTTGCAGCAGTCCAGCTGTTAGGAAACACGGGGAAACTCATTATTGGAGGTTGAATGGAGACTCCTGAAATTGCTTCCGAGTCTGACATTACTTCACGCATACCCGTTTGTTTCATGGACAAATGAGCAGGCCTTGTTCGTCATATCAATGGGACTGGATGTTGTAGTAGCCTTTAAATGACAAGTGATGTAGATCTGGGAGAGAAAAACAAAACTAAACTCAGTCTGATTAATTCAGATTAACAAATGGCTGATCTAGATCAAGTGTAAATGGAACAAACTATACACTCTCAGAAACAAAAGTGCAAACTTTTAGGGATACCAGAGCTTGCCACTGGAGGAGTTCCCCCTTAAAGGGACACCTTTGGACCTTATTTACTCAAAAGTTCACAGTAATACCTCAACGATACACATTACAAGTCTAAGGTGCACCTTTTAGGGGTTGTTAGTGTACAAAGTTGCCCTTTTACCAGTGACAAACTGGTAAATATAAACCACAGGCGTAACTATCGGTAAGCAGGGTACGCGGTTGCTTACGGGCCCGGACCAATCAGGGGCCCGCGTGACTGGAAGATATTGATTGACAGCCGGGGGCGGGGCCCCCTATCACATTTTACTACTTTTAGTCTGATCGCATTTTAATTTTTCATGAATTTATCTGAATAAATAATGACAACAACATATTTTACTGATCATTAAATACATGTTTGAAACGAACAATGATGGATTTTGGTGTAATTTGTTTCGAATTGGGACTGGGGAATCCCCGGGTGAACATGCGTATTGCGTGCAAAAAACAGTAAAAAACGTTGAACTTGAGACAGTTATGGAGTCGGCAAACGAAAAGAGGAATTAGACAAATTAATTAATAAATTACCAAAAATAGGAAGCTTGTTTAAAAAGATGACAGGAGGGAGAGATCGAGATTGAGATGGAGCAAGAGAGTGAAGCGACTTGCCAAACTGTCAATTGAGAATGCCCGTGCTCACCATCTAGATCTTAAGGATTTAATCGACAACTTCGCACAGAGGAAAGCCCGGAAAATTCCGCTATAATGTAAGATGAGCATCTTTTTTATGTATTTGGACCTAGGCCTATGTGTGTGTAGTCACAGCAGTGAGTAACAATGTGTCATGATGCTCCGTCACCAGC